GATCCCCATTCGAGAATTGTTGCTACTGGTTCATATTCATGTTGTCGTTCGTTTCTGATTTGCCCGGCTGGTATTGGAGACCTGGAAGAGGAGGTGATATGGAGGGTACTATCATCCGCGAAGCTGTGTACTGGACATGAAGTTGCTTCCAACAAATCGTTGATATGGAGTAGAAATAGTGTTGGTGCTAGAATTGATCCTTGTGGAACACCAGCATTCATGATACGAGAGTCAAATGAAACTCCGTCGACCACTACATGGAGAGACCTATTTGAGAGAAAACTAGCTAGCAGAGAAAATGGCTGGGAAGGTAAGCCATAAGATGGAAGCTTTGCGAGGAGTCCGTGGTACCAGACTCGATCGATTGCCTTGGAGATATCAAGTACCACGGCTAAGGTTTCACCATATTTCGCCATAGATTGCTGTCATATATGTGAGAAGTTAGCGAGCAGGTCACCAGTTGATCTCTGATGACGGAAGCCATATATAATTACTGCCTTATAATTGTGAATTTCTTCATGAAGTCAAGAGTTCACAATATTGCTTGGCTCAGACAATCGGACATTGGATAGGAAAAACGTAACAAATGGTGTCAAAAATAAAAAATGATACATAAAATAGAATATCCTCGACATGAAGTGAAGAATGACACAATACATCTTGACGTTGGGGTTATGCAGCGGTCTGTGATAACCCCAACGTCAAGATGTTTTGTGTCATCCTTCACTTCATGTCAAGAATTTTCTATTTCAAGCACCTGTTTCGATTTTTGACACCATTTGCTTCGTTTTTTCCATCCACTGTCCGATTGTCTGAGCCGAGCAATGTTTCAAACTTTTTACTTCTTGAAGAAATCCCAAATTACTTCCTTAATTATAAAGATATTCATATTTTACTAAGGTGAATCGCATTCAATTGCAGACCCTTCATTTCTATCAACAAAATTTCTAATATGTAAATTACATTTTCGATTTTTCATCATGTGAAATATTTTTTCCAGAGCAGGTGAGGATTGTTCGACTTTTATTATCTCAATTCTTTTCTGACGTAGCTTTCTGTCTGTCCTATTGTAGTCGTACTTCCTGTAACAAATAATTTTTACCGATGATGAAGCTTTGAAGCTCCAAAAAATGTCCCAATTTCAATGTTAAATAAAGTTTAGTTTTGGTGGAGTTGACTGTAAGATTTTATTCCTGCCCTATTATCGTCACTACACTGCAAGATGGCCCTCATGTCCATTATTTACTTTCCAAATATTGGTTTAAACATTCTTCTCGATATTCCTTTCATTATGATATATAGATAGAATATGAGCTTATATACCTATAGACAGGTCAGCACAAAGTACCTACGTGTATCAATAATAGTTATTTGTTTTACTAGGCAGAAAAGCACAAGATTCAATGCCGCGGCTGGCGTTTCATAGCCAAGGCGTAGCCGAGGCTAGGAAGCCAGCCAAGGCATTGAATCTGCTCATCTGCCGTGTGAAACATATCATTTTTTCCCCAAATTCGTCCAATTTCACGCAAACTCCAATAATCCATCATTTTGTGTTCACCCAACGTCAGTGTCAATTTTGATTACCAATTTGATTCGAATTATTTCTTGGAACGTTGCATAACAACAAATTCCTTCTGCCTATGCAGAAAAAGTACCGTTTTTCTGCCTGTTGAGTGTCATTAAAAAGCCACTTTTGATGTCATTTGGGGAAAAAACATTTTCTGTCTGAAATATCTGATTATAGATGATAGATATATATATGTTCCAGGTGAAGTGTTCGTTATAAGAATGAAATGAGATCATATACAATTTCATTCATCGAGGTTATATTGAGTAATCCTAGTAAAAAACACAATCTCAGTCCAATCACGTTAAGTGATTTTTGGCAAATAGTTGGGATGTAAATTTGTGAATGGAATTCTTTTTTCACCTGACTGGGCTTGTCTAATTCGTCTGACTGGTATTGCTACATTCAATTGTTTCATTTGCTTTGTATTTTTGTTGTTTATTTTTACTATTCGTTTCTGTTTTTTATATACTCAAGTCTTGAATAAGTAGCTATGTAACTGTATTTTGTGATATTCGTGAGTATTTTTGAATTGAGAATTGGGAATATGATTATATCTCATGAGGATGTTTGTTTTGTTCGTTTCTATTTTGTTGAGAAAGATCGAAAGATCGAAAAAAAGAAACGAAAAATATGAACACAAAACGAATTGAGGAGGCGATAAAGTTAACAGAGAGGCAGTAACGGAAGGAAGAATGAAGATATGATAGATACCAACCTAGCAAAGCTATGTTCTCGCAAGGCTGCGCTGTGCACTCGATCAAAATCAGCAGCAACTGCTTCAAAGCCAGCGTCGCTCCAGGATGTTCCAGCTCGTTCAGATCGGAGTCTCTCAGCCGGAACAAATAATCCACTACCAGCTCGCTGGCCAAGCCGCAACAGTGCTTGAAGCTTTGCCAAGCTTCCCCACCTCTGTTAACCTTCACTGTTTGTCTCAACCAGTTTTGCACCATGGGCAGCACGATGTGATTGATGCAATAGAAGCCGAAGTTGATGCCTGGATCTGTTACTAGATCCCTAATCAGTTTGAACAGCGTTTCCACTATGAACGGCTGATTTTTGACGGCTGATAGTATCGAAGCTGAAGCTAGGCCTTCCAGGAGAATGTAGTATATCCTGAGGACGTTGCCTGGCTTATCCATGTGGGCTAGTGTCATGTTTTCTTTCTCGCAATTCTCGAAGTCGTTTTGCGTGGACAACAGCTCGTAACCCATTTGATTGTGGTCGGTTTGATTGAAGCTGTTAACTTCCGGATTTTGGATGACCGGATCAACTAATTGAGGGAAAATATCTATATTGACTCTGTGCGTCAAGTTGAATGTTGGGCACTTAGGCATGTGGTAGATAGCTGTTAAAATGGCAGCGCAATTTTGTAACAGCTTCAGTGATTCTAAACATAAATCGACTGGCTCGGAACCAAGTTTCGTTGGGAATTCAGCTTCTTTGTCCAGGAATAAGGACGACTTTTTGTCGCTGGGTTGGTTAGTTGGTTCAGGCACACTTTCATCTAGGGTGGAATTCTTGATGTGTGAAAGAAGGCATAATATGTAGTCCAGGGCTGCGTTGGCGAAAACTAGAGTGTTGTCTGTCGATAGGAAGATTTTGAATACCTCGAGGATGGCTGTGGCGCTGTTTTTGGAACTTGCTACTCTCAAGGTGCCGAACAGTGGCCGCCAGCCAGAGCTGATTTCGGTCCTATTGGCTTCGACGAATTCGCACAGGCAATAAACGATTTGATCCTTGAAAAAAAAATGGTTATCAAGGTTAATCGAAGTTGATTGTAATAACAAATCGCAAAATTTCGCCGATTCAATCGAGTGATGAATGTTATCAAAAAAAGTTGTTTGAGTTGAAGATCTTTCGGCCAATGGGATGATTCGAGAGAAATTGACTGTGAAAATCTCACTGTGAGTATGATAGGATAGAGTCCCATATAGCACCAGAACGTCCTCAAAACGTACTGAGAATGTCCGGCCAAGACATTTCGTTCGTACTGGGGACGTACAGATTAGAACCGTGAACGTACTAGGGACGTACTGGGTATGTCCAGATTCCGCACATGTGTACACCCCCAGTACGTCCATTCCGGGCCATGAATACCTGAATCAATGTAAATCCGCTTTTTTCCCCATGAACCCCTAGATTACCTGACAGATGCTGTACCTATTACTTCACAAAACACTTATTGATATATCAGAATAAAATAAGAGATTATGTGCAAATGTTGATTGCCCCTTCACATCGATACTTTCATAGAATTAGATGATCACGGCAGAGAATTCCTAAACAGATGTTATGTGATTAGGTACGGCCAGTAAAAAATGAATTGTGGGAATTGTATCATGTTAGTTCCTACATGAATAAATATCAGAGATTGAGGGTAGAAATGATGTGTAATGATTTCAATTATTATTATACAATTTATTCAATCCCGTCCACAAAGAGTCGATAACGCCCAGAATGGGCTTATATCACAAAAAAAAATTATTTCATAATTCGATAGAACTCACCCAAACTAGCTCACCACCGCAAACCGTTTCTTTCTGAGCTCCCTATTTTTTATAAAAAAATATTGAAATCCCCGATTTTTCGGACCTCTGAAAACGAGGCGATGATGTGACGTCAAAACCCTAATACTGAAACAAGACTATTCCAGACAGAGATGAATGATACATGATTTCTGACAGAGTGAATTAGCGCGAGATCACAGTTGAAGACAGTTAATATATCAGTTGCCTCAGTCTCCGTCGGGCGTTTGGTATTTTCTTTTAACTATGGCGAGATGAGGTTTCTACGTCATAAGAGGGTCCGTTTTCAGAAGGTACTATTATTTATGTCCAAAAATGAAACATTTCAGTCAATTTTTCGATCGAATTATGTCGTCAATCATTATTTTTGTATGAAAGGATCATTATAAACATGGTTTGAGTTAAAAGTTTTACTAAGGTGTACACGCCCATTGGACGTACTCAGTACATCCGAATCGGACGTACCCAGTACGTCTAGAAATGGACGTTTTCAGTACGTCTTGGAAAGGTCCCGGACTTCCAGACCTAAATCAGACCTGAAATGGACGTCCCCGTAACTTCGAGTGCTATATGGGGTGTTTCTAAATGGCCTTTACAGAAACTAAGGTAGTACCTAACTACATATATTTCTCAGACCAAAACAATTGGATTAATGCCGACTCAGCTGAGTATCGAGTTGCTCAGTCTGGGCTTTATAACTTTTTTCTCCATCTCTTGGAGCGCACTAAAGGACATTCTTATAAAGTTCGAAGCGGCTAATGGGATTGCACTCAAATTTTATACGTTGGCATTGCTAATTTGATGATAATGATAAACATCATTCCATGGGCGTAGAACTTGATTTGTTTAGTTAATAAACATCTGAAACATATCAACATATCAATACTGTCAAGGAAATTGTTCCAGATATTTATCATTTTCACGGATACAAAGATTCATACTGCGGGAAAAATAAGATACAAGCGAATTGACATCAGTACGAAATTGTTCAGTCTGGGCGCTATAGACGGCTCTGATTTACTCGGTACAAGAAACAAACAACAAAAAAGTAGCTGATAGCACTTCTCATTATTTTTCGTCGTATGTATCTTTCCTGGGAATGATGACAATTTTGGACAATTTATTTCATGGATTATCTGTTGATCGTTCCAATTTTGACTATCGCTCAAATTTGAAAAAAAAATCCCATTTTTTTGAAACCATGAGAGTAATAGAAATACATCAGGAGTACTTTATTGTGAGAAAAATATGCGATCCAAATTTCACATTCGAATTCCTGTCTTTCTATTGGCGTAGCAGTTTTGAATGTTGATAATTTTCTTGAAAAATCAAGTTCCACGCCCATTGAATGATATTATGGTGATGGTATTTGTTTTTTTGCCCAACGAAGCTATGCCCAATTTTTTTCTTCGGATGCTGATCCAGTCATTGGCTACACCTCAGCCTCCTGAGCTTTTTGTGCATTCCAGTTAATCTTAGAGCACGCATTCCGTAGCTTGTATTTCCTGCACCAGTCTGTACAGGTTCTTCGGGAGTCAGCCTAGGCTGCCCAAATATTTCTTGTCTTTTGCGATCCAATGCCTCGCATCCTATTAATTAATAAGTGTTTGGCCGTGTTTGTCCCTTTACCGCATTGTCTGCAGAGAAGTTCTCCATTGTACAGTTTCATTTTATTCAGGTGTCCTCTTGTTGGGCTGTGACCAGTGAGAAGTCCCGTTATTGTTCTGACTTGACTATATACAGGGTGTTTCATAGGTGAAGAGAAATATTCCAATGGTAGATAGGGGTCACCAAGGTGGTTCTGAAAATACCATATTTGATAGGTCTAAGAGTCTTCATAACGGAGATACAGGGCGATTTATCGATTTCGAATAAATATTCATTCGTCTATAAGTATTGAACTACCAAGTATATTTTTCTTAAATTTGGTATGGAGCTTATACCCGGGACGTTGAATTCATTCAGCTATCGGGTGAAGTGGAAATCCAGGTTCGGCTTCAGGAAAAATTTACATTTATTCGAAATATTAAAATAACACACTGTATGTAATAATTGACAGAGTTCATCGAAGGAATCGTGGGGAGGAGGAAAAACTGAACTGAATTTGATGCTTTTTGTTTTCCCGCCACCTATTCAATTATGATTATTTGATATATTCTTGTTGAATGATCGTTCGAAAGAACTTAATCAGTCTCACAGTCTTTATAACAGAGATACAGGGTGAATTGTCGGTTTCGAATAATTATTCACTCGTCCATATAAGTATCAGACTACCCATCGCAGTAATATTTTCTCAAATTTGGTATTGAGCTTACTTGGGACGATGGATTCATTGACCTATCAGGCAGAATGGCAATACAGGTTCAGCTCCAGGAAAAGTCTCATAGTCTTTATAACAGAGATACAGGGTGAATTATCGAATTATAATTATTTGGTAATATTTCCATTCCGCCTGATAGGTTAATGAATCCATCGTTTCAAGTAAGCTACATACCTACCAAATTTGAGAAAATGTTACTGGGTAGTTTAAGACTTATGAAGACTGTGAGACATAGTGAGTTCTTTCAAGCGATTTTTTGACTGAAATATCAAATAATCATAATTGACACTGGTTTCATAATTCGAATACTCTTCAAATTGAAATATTTTCAACTTCCTGTTTATGATTGTTACGATGAGAATTGGTGGCAAGAAAACAAAAAGCATCATACACAATTCAGTTTTTCCTCCTCTTCACGATTCTTTTGATGTACTGTGTTAATTATTGAATACAGTGTGTTATTTTAATATTTCGAATAAATGTAAATTTTACCTGAAGCCGAACCTAGATTTTCACTCCTACCGATAGATGAATGGATTTTACGTCCCAAGTATGAGCTCCTCACCAAATTTGAGAAAAATATACTGGGTAGGTCAATACATATAGACGAATGAATAATTATTCGAGATCGATAAATCGCCCTGTATCTCCGTTATGAAGACTCTAAGACCTATCAAATATGGTATTTTCAGAACCACCTTGGTGACCCTTATGTACCATTGAAATATTTCCCTTTGCCTATGAAACACCCTGTATACTCATCTCGAGTAGTTTTTCAGATTCATTTTTCGATTGTTATTTGATGAATACTTTCACGTGATGCATGTGAGGGGCATCAGTTCATCACTCCTTATGTTTTCGCTTGATCCAGTCCCGTATTTATACTCGGGTAGCTGTTTTTGTAACAGTGGCGGCTCCTCAGAGAAGGCAACGGAGGCTCTGAGCCTCCCCAGAGATTTTCCTTACACTGATATTATCTATACTCTCTCATTAGAAGGACACCAAAATACATGGATTTTGATTTTATTTCCTGTTTTTAGGTGAATATTTTTGAATTGGCAACAATGCTTGCCCACGCATCACACGTTGAAATCTGCAAATCACGCGTGAAATATTCAACTTGGCAACATCTATAGGAGGCTAGACTCCTCCACAACGCGCAACCCACGCGCGCAATGCAAATGCCCGAATACGCCCGAATAGCACGTGTTTGTCGTGTTGCGTCGCGAATTGCGGAAAATCCAACGCGAGTGCATTGTTTATGTTTATGTTAGGTTAATGGTTAGGGGCTCTATAAATTTCTGAAAAATGAGTGTTTTAAACGATTGCGATTCAGTGAAATACTTTTTGGTGCACCCATTCAGTGCTTTGTCTTATGAAGATAAATGGATTGTGGAAAACAAACGTCCGACACCGGAATTGAAAAATCATAATTATGAAAAATATATCTGGTTGACGGGATCTGAGGTGAGGAATGAGCTATATTGTTGGTACTGCGTATTATTTTCAATCGATAAGTCATCATGTTGGGGGCGATTAGGATAATTATAATGATATGAAAAATTTGCCTCGCGGATTGGATAGACACTGCAAATCACAGGAACACATCTTTTCAAGTATTGAGTTCAGGTTAACTGGTGAACAGGATGTCATTTAAGCTATTGATTTGGGTGAGTAGAGAGTTGTTTTTCACAATGAATCTTATATCATTTAGCCTCCTCTGTCATGAAAGTCACGAGCCGCCACTGTTTGTAACCCCGAGTACGGGTTCTGGGCCAATGTATGGAGTTGATGAGCCGGTTTTTGCCAGTTTGTTATGTTCTGATAGGACAATGAGTTCTTCTCTGCATTCCTGTACCAGCCTGGATGTCACTTCCCAATCAGCCAAAGTACGTCTTAAAGGCGTCTTTAAGACGTACATGTCGGGACATAAGTGCGTCTTGAAGACGTACATATTACGCCCAAGAGACGTCTTTAAGACGTCTTCAAAACGTACATTTTCCACAAATATGTACGTCTTTAAGACGTCTTTTTTAGGTGTTTTTGGTCCATGACCTCAAATAGATCTTTCAAATTAACGGAAAAATCACATGGTTTCAGTTGATTTTCACCTGTGCACTGAAGTTAGCAACAAGTGCAGACAAGCAAAAAAAAGGGAAATAAACGACTTCATCAAACGGTAGACACTAGCGGTCACCCATTCAAGTACTAACCGCGCTCTTTGTTGCTTGACTCCGTTGATTATACCATATTCACTTCTTCTGTTACTCTGTTTGTTCTATATATCACATAACAAGCTTTCACTTAGTTCAACATGTCCTTGTGTCTGTTTGTAATCAAAACGTGCAAGTTAAATTTGACTCACTTCAAATCGTCCGATTGATTTGAAATTTAGCAAGTAAATATTATTCCGGTGACAATTCGTTGTGATATTATTATTGAATGGAAAAAACAGAATGGCGGATCCAATATGGCGGACGATTTTCTCATTGATTATGTTCCGATTCGAATCAAAATTCAATATTTAAGATGGTGAATCCAATGTGGCATATGGTTTTCTGATTATGGTCTGATCTGATTCAAAATTGGCATCTGAAGGATTTCGGGATCAGAGATTATAATTCCTTTTGTCGAAAATGAAAAATCCAAGATGTCGGCTTCAAAATGGCGGACGAGTTTTGTGATTATAGTCCGATTTTATTCAAAATTGATTACTATGGGACTTTTGGGGTCGGAGAATATGATTTTTTTTGTAAAAATTCGAGAATCTAACACGAAGGCTCCAAAATGTCGGACGAAAAAATTCAAAAACATCACTTTTGTTGAAAATAAGAAAAAACTGAACAATTGAAAATAAAAAACGTGAAGAGATGACATTTTGTTTTTCTTCAAAAAATAACTTACATTATTGTTCTATAAGTCGAATTGACGTACTGGAATGTACGTCTTTAAGACGTCTTTTATACGAGATGGGAGGAACGACGTGGATACGACCTGAAGTGTACGTCTTTAAGATGTACATGGATTTACATCTTAAAGACGTACTTTATACGTCCCTGGACGTAAAGACGTAAGTAAGTCGTAAAATGTACGTCTTTAAGATGTCTGGTGCTGATTGGGTTTCGGGTTCGTGAGAGCTTTCAGTGACGCCTGGCTATCGGTGCATATTTTGATTCGTGCACTGCGCACTTTCCTCATATTGTTTGTTCTTGCACATTCCTGAAATATAGTACCTCGTCAACCTTATTGAATCACCCGGTACATACCATAACTCTGACTGGAATTGCATCGTGAGCCTTTCCTAATGTTTTGCATGTAAAAACAATTATGAAACTATATTACCTACGTCAGAGCCGTCTAGCGCCCAAACTAAGCAACTTTGTTCAGAAGTTAGCTCACTTGTACCTATTCAATTGTTTTGATTTGAGGAATATGTAGGTAGTAGTGTCTAAAGACCTTTCAGAGACACCCTGTGTATATTATGTGATTGGGATCAATAAAGAAGGTAAAGATGCTGTGGAAATGAAAAAATGTTTTCTGATGTTTTGGTCTTCTACAAATATACCTGTACATCAATGTCGCAAAGCTCAAGGCAGAGCAGATTCTCGAAAGGTTTGATGAGAGCCTCGTTGAAATGGAAATGAGGCAACTCCGCCTGTTCGTTGAGTAAAGCTGTCACGGCGTCGTGAATACAAGTCACAGCCTTCTTGGATATCGTTCTGTCCTTGTGACAGGCTGCTTGCATGAAATGCGGACCCACTATCGACCTAATGCAACACAACAACAATAATCAATTATTTTTCTCAGCAGTTATGAGAATGTTAACATTTCCCTCCCCATTCATATACCTTTTCAATATTGAAGCAAGAAAATTTTTTCAGCGTGACAATTCAATTGAAGACCACAGGGGAAAAAGAAGAAATGTCACAATATAGTGGACATTGACTTGATACCGCCTTACCACTATATTTTCATCATAGCTTTGAGTATTAGGATCATAGTCAGCTAATATGCTCGATCGAAAATACGTTCACATGGAAAAAACGCGGAATGTTTACTTCAAAAATGTGGAGAAAGGGGAACGTCCAAGATTATTGCTAGCTTCAATACAGATTCCATTGTGATTTTAATAGGTTGTTCTCACACTGTCAAGAGATAGAAGTGAACTCTCAGGCAAACAAAATATGAGAGACAAGGAGATACGGCCACCTTTTTTCCATCTCTTAGAGCGTACCAAAGGGAATCCCTATAATGTTTGGGGAACATTGTGAGTACCTAGAGAGGATAGGGAGAGGAAATAGGTATCGGGATTTTCAATTTTTTTTGGGACAATTTCTTGGGAATACTCTGTTTGGCAAAACATTCCAAAGTTTAGCCGTTCTCTGTATAAACGAGTTTTGGTAAAGAGTTGTTCGACATAGTTCGAGGTTGACGACAAGAAGATCTGTTGACTGGGCTTGCCGAGTACGTCTGAGTGATTGGAAGAAATAATGAGATTGCTACATGATGATTCCTACTTATATCACATGGAATTTATAGGAAATGACCAAATTATAGAGATGCTAGATGTACAATATGATAACTTACCATTAGGTAGTGAGGCAAGAATGGAGACATGTACAACAAAGTCACACTTATGTGGGTTCCAGGGCATATATGAAGGAATCAAAGGAAATGAGGCAGCTGATCACCTTGCAAAAAAAGGTGCAGCATCTGCACTTTTTGGTCCTGAGCCTTTTTGTGGGATAAGCAAATGTCACCTAAAGGGAGAACTCGGGAAATGGAAAGAAATTGAAAAGTCCTCCTACTGGAGAGCAACTCCAGGTCAACGACAAGCGAAGCGGTTCATCAACCATTCGCAGAACCGAGCCAATAAGCTACTCAGCCTCAGCAAACCAAAGCTAAAGCTTATCACAGGCTTTCTCACAGGACACGGCCCTCTGAGGTACCACCTCAAAAAGATGGGTCTGGTGGAGACTGACACTTGCCGCTTTTGTAACAATGCGACCGAAACCGCGGAACTCATACTTTGCTCATGTGAAGTATTAGTAAGCCAATGGCTGAACCACCTAGAAGAGGTCTATCTCACCGCTGCTGAAGTGGAAAAGTCGACCGTCAGGAAAATCGTAGGCTTCATCAGAAGTCTAGGGTTAGAGGACCAAAACTAGATAGGGGTAATCACCATAGATCTTCTGGGTCGCAGTGATCGAGAGGTCTCTCAGCCTATACGACCCATCTACAATCTACAATCTACAATGGAGACATGTACCAGAGCAGATTATTATGAGTAAACAATTCAGTTTTTTGACAATTTATTTGAACATTACCCATTTTTCCCTTGAATCTTGGACTTATTTTTTGTTTTCGATGATTTTTCCATTCAAATTTGATTTTTATTCCTGATTGTTCAACTTTATCGCTCGATATACTCCATCAAATGAATCCAGATGGTTTGATCTCAGTTTCCTTCAACTTCCAAAAAGTAAGGTTTTTAACTTTGGAATGCGTTGTTCTCGAAACTTATACTTTTTGTGACATTCCCCCTAAATTGTTCTAAAATTTTTCTAAAATTGTTCTATCCGTTATTCGGTTGCCCCCTTACGAGCAACCCTCAAGAGTCTTCGAAAGTCTTGTGTGAGCACCCCTGTGGTCTTCAATTCATATACAGAGGGTGTCCCGTGACTCGATGGCAATAGCTTAAGGGCACATTCCTTCGACAATTTCACACTTTTGTCTAAACTTCAATAGTTAAGGACCGATATAGTTATGAGCAATTAAATAACAGCTTTGCTAACCAGTGGATTGCAAGAGGTAGTCCAGTTCTTCGGCTACCGAGGTCATCTGACCACTATTGTCGTTGAGAGCCCATTAATAAATCAAGTGTATTCAATCGAACCACAAAACAGCAATGATGAGTCAATTCAAAATATATGAATGTATGACTACAGCTGCATCCATGAGACGGTACTCTTCAGAGAGCATATTTTTTAATAATTAGACAAGCCAGAATGTGTTGTGAAGCAGCGGGAGTGGCATCGTGAATGAAAACCTTGATTCAATTTGTGTAAGTGATAATAAAATTCTCAATTGAAATTGGGCAAGTGGACTGAATGCGTCATGATGCCTGTAAATTTGGTTTGGAACTTCGGGAATTTAGCAAGATTTCCCCACGCCTCGCTATTTTTACAAAGTAGGCGATATCGAGAGATTTCGAAACTTCTTTCAATAGGAAGTGATAATACCATTTGACTTACTATACATCTATGTTCTTATTATTGTTAATGAAGATTGGAATATTCCATACTTTCTCAAAACACTCGTATCTTCTCTTAAAAATAATATATTGACTAGAATACAAAAATTATTTTCGAAGTCACTTCCAACCACTTATTTCGCCACAGGCCGTTGAGAAGTGGAGGGTGTAATGGTAACTTTGGTTTTTCCCTGTTTAATGATATTTACTTTCCACGGAAACTAATATTCAGGCTAATATTATCAAGAGAAGACATATCGATAAATCGAAACGAACTCAATATATCCTGCTTACTGAAAATGGACAACATATCGCAGAGTGGAATAATATTAAAATCTTAGGAAAGGAAGATAACAACCAGAAGAGAAAAATCAAGGAATCCGCTTGCATTCTTCTAACCGTAGACAATAGCAATTGCTTCCTGTTCAGTTGATATACAGTGCGTTCATAAAGTGTGGAAACGCTCCATTATCTTACGATATAATTATTTTCAGAGGTAAAGCTCGGACAGGTCGATTTTGTATTTCAGTCTTCCATCTTTTTTTACAAAAAAATGATTTTTTCCCCCACCACCTTACAAGATATGACGTCATCGATATTTTTTTTAAATTGAAAGGGTATATTTTTATATCAAAAATTGAAAGCCCATATTTTTCTGAGTTCAACCATACCACATACGTCATATCTTACACTTCAAGTTACAGTATACTGAGTATAAAAGAAACCAGTGTTCATATTTCTCAACATTCATTTAATTATTTATTTGCAATGGAAATATCATAAGAAGTAGTGAAAATGAAGTAGATTTGTTATTTGTTTATTTTCACTACTTCTTATATTTTCATTGCAAATAAATAATTAAATGAATGTTGAGAAATATGAACACTGGTTTCTTTTATACTCAGTATACTGTAACTTGAAGTGTAAGATATGACGTATGTGGTATGGTTGAACTCAGAAAAATATGGGCTTTCAATTTTTGATATAAAAATATACCCTTTCAATTTAAAAAAAATATCGATGACGTCATATCTTGTAAGGTGGTGGGGGAAAACATTATTTTTTTATAAAAAAAGATGGAAGACTGAAATACAAAATCGACCTGTCCGAGCTTTACCTCTGAAAATAATTATATCGTGAGATAATGGAGCGTTTCCAAACTTTATGAACGCACTGTACATAGATCGAACATGGTATTCACTACTGGAAACTGAACATAAAAATGCTAAATTCAAGATCAATTTATGAAAACATCCTGTAACTCATTCGTATACTAACATAATCACTCATACATATGCAAACATCAGTATGGCACTGAGAATTGTCAAACCCGAACAACATTTTCGAAGAAGAATATTTTGCATTTTTAATCGTTATTTTTTCAATATATCTATTTCTTCTCTTCAAACTTTTTTTCAAACAAAGTGTCACTGACAAGCTATTGGATTTTTGTTTTAGGCTTCCTGATAGAAAAATTAGTCAAACTACACATATATTCAAATAATACTCATATTTTCATTTTGTAGAAACGTGGAGAGAACATCCCAAATTATCAAGTACAATAAAAAACTATTGTGTTGAGAGAGGATCACATTTCAATCCGAAGTAAAGGGTAAAATGGTAACTTTGGTTTTTCCCTGTATGATCTAGTCATCAGCTTTCCGCGGAAACTAATATTCAGGCCAACATTCCGGAACATGAATCTACGATTTGATGTTAATATCACAAAAATTGGATGAGGATTCGAAAAGTTAGAGGAAGAACAAATATGTAAAATTTTTTGGTGGCCGTTTTTCTTGCATGTGAGCGTATAAACGTGGCAGCATTGCTTTCTGCTTTTGAAAGCTGAATGAACGAAGTTGCCATGTTACCAGCAGAAATTAATCGAGTGTAATGGTGATCAAGAGAGTATGAGCTTGTATGATATTTTATGATGATATTGAGAAATGGTGCATGTCGAATGATTGCAATCACTACTTCTGATGGATGAGTTTGCGCAGAGCACCCTGTATTCTTTCATCTCGTTAAATCAGGTATTTTTCCCTTTGAGATGATAAATGGATTTCGTTGACATAAGGCAATCATGACTAACCAGACTTTCATGATATGGATGAGTGGTCTTCCGGATTTTATGCACTTCAAAGTCACCTCGCCGATCCGATGAAGAAGCAGAGTAACTGGAGGTTTCTGTTGAACATCTAGTTCTTTCTTCCACCATTTCTTCTGACGTCTAGGAGATTCCTCATATCGTGTGAACAACTGAAAGAATTCGATACTAGTAACAGGTAATGTAAATGGTAATGTGGTAAGGTAATGTTCATTTAGAATTCATTCTGTTCTATACCTTTTCAACTTCAATTTCGGAGTTATATTTCGGAAAAAGTAATCTCGATTTCAGAATTGGTTAGTTCGATTTCAGAAATGGTAAACTCAATTTCAGAATCGGTGAGATGAATTTCAGAAAATGGTAAGTTGTATTTCAGAATTATTATTGGTAGGTTCAATTTCAGAAGATGAAATCCTTTTATATGTTTGAAATGTTTTTAATTGCAAAAGAGAATACTGTTTACAGTGGATGGAACAGTGTTTGAGAGCCCTATGTTGAATCAGATTGAACATATATGGGGTGTCTTCAAGTCAGAAGTGAAGAGCTTTTTGCAAGAGCATCGCCAAAGGGTCATAGCTGGAGATCCGAACAGATTGCTCAACCAGATAGAATTCAGACTGCGATGTCTTGAAGGATGTGCAGATCATTCAATGAAAATGATAACACCTCAAATGTGTTTGCATTCTTATAATCATGTGCAACGCCACTATCTTCCAGCGATTCAGATGGAAGGCATTTGTGGATTAAATTGTTTTTGAAAAGTTGAATATTTTCAATATGGTTTGTTAATCTCACATGCAATTGGAAACATTTCGAACAAATATAAGGATTTTTTATGATATATTGAACCTACCAATTCTGAAATACAACTCACCATTTCTGAAATTGAATAGACTTTTTCTGAAATTCATCTCACCGATTCTGAAATTGAGTTTACCATTTCTGAAATCGAACTAACCAATTCTGAAATCGAGATTACTTTTTCCGGAATATAACTTACCGATTCCGAAATTGGAGTTGAAAAGGTATAGTGAAATAATTCGAAATTATCGTTTTATGTTCATAATAGTTACAGGGTACAGATTATTGTGGTGATTTTATAATATTTTTACTCTTCATTTGGTTCATTTCAACACGGATTTTCATTATGATACAGATTTTGGCCAATCAAAATACGTACTTCTCATTATAATATACACTATACAGTGTCCAAGGTAAAGATGAACATCATGGGGATCTCACTTACCGTAAGAGTTATACAGAAGCTCGAATGGGCAAAAAGTTGCACAATTACAGGGTCAATAAATGGACGTTGAGAAATCCCAAAAATGTTCTCAACTTCCGGAGATATTCTGAAAAAAACAGAATTTGTCGATTTGGGTTTTTTGATTTTGATTTGTTGATTTGAGTCGGAGAAATTTCGAAAAAACCGAAGACCCTTTCCCATTGCCACTTTTTTACATCTAAAAAATGGCATTCACAAAATCTTCGTATAACGTTTCGCTTCGAAGAATTAATTATCAACTTTGTTTATTTACAAGGCACCAAAAAAGTTCCACCCTGTCCCAGCAAACATTTTGATATGGGGCATCAATGGCCTAATATATTTTTCCCATACCTGACATCAGCAGCCCAATAAATGGTCCCATATGCGGGACTCTATATATCAGTACACTGCGGCCAGCAGCTGGTCCCAGTGCTGGGTTCCCAGCAAACATATTCAGTTCCCCGGCAAAAGGCCAGTACAACATAATCGACACATTGAATTTCCCATAGCAAGCCCAGCATATATATGAATAATGGGACTGTAATGGCCAATTAACGACATTGGATACATACTATCGAGGTAGGGGAGGGGTAGGGGTTTTAGGGGTCCATTGGATCTGAAAGTTCTAGTACTCCTTTATTTCACAATATAAACCTCTGATCATACCAGATTTCAAGAAAACAATTTTATATATGAATGACACAATGATATCTTCCTAACTTCTCTGTTCTTCAACGATGTGACTGCTTAGTGGTTGGTATGTGGTAACTACATCTTATTGGGTAGCATTCCTTCGAAGTCGATTCTTCGTTATGAGGTACTTCTGAAATAGAAAATGCATCATTTGTTTATTTAGTGGCCTATGAGTTGCATGAGTTTATAACTTGATAATATAGTCTGATGACGTGATAATATGGAGCTTTCCAATTCTCATAATTTTCTTGGCACAGGAATTTCTGTAGCTGAAATTTCATTGTTATTTAGTAAAGAGATATATAGGTTCACATAACCTGGAATTACTTTCGATAGCAACAAACGAGTTGAAAATGATAGTTGCTTTTGAAGAAGTATAGCCCACTCCAATTAATATGATCATTATGTGTATGAAGTTACGAGATACCAAACACATGCATTTAATGATGAAATTCTAAACACTATGTAGGTAGATTGATACTTACACAATATTATTATAATTGAAGAATCTGTCTTCTATCATTATCAATCGAGATTGAGAATACTACTGCCATCATAAATAACCACCAGGGAAAGAGAGGACCACATTAATTCGACATAAACAAACCAGTACGCGATCACCACTCACGAGAGTCAGCCATCTTAGTCACATTTAATATTGATCAGCTGATTGTTGATGTGGACGTTCCCAGAACTACCACCAGGGGGACGAGTAGCGAACATAAAATAGGCCAGCAAAGGGCCAGATCTCGTAATTATTCAATTAGTTCCAGACATCTTACCATCACAAGGCCATCATCGTATTTTCAACTGATGGTTACTTGGCTTAGGAAAATCATCGGCCCATTACCAATATCCCGGCATCGTCACTTTCCCAGACTAGCCTGCACTAGGCCGGACTTCTCCCGCTAGTTCAATGTTTGCTGGGGTATGACATAGCATTTTTTATTGCTAATCCAACGATGTACGGCACAATATGATTCTCTACGTTTTTATTCCGATAAAATGCTTTACTGTCATATGAAAAACGAAGTTGATGATGGTTTCTTCGAAACGAAGCAATGTACGGTGAATGCAATTTTTTAGAGGTAAGAGAGTGTGAATGAGAAAGAGCCTTCGGTTTTTTCGTAATTCTTCAATTGAGTTGTAAAACAAATAAAACTTCTCATCATCTATTCATTGACCTGTCAATTACGCAACTTCCTCCCATTTTATCTGCTGTTAGTATAGGGGCTACACGCAGCTACCAGGCCAAGCCAATCAGAAGCCAGCATTTGGTTGGTGGCCACGCTCACTACATCAATCAGAGACTGGCGCGGAATTCAAATTATTCATGGGACGTCACGTCAACATCATGAATAAATTTGAAAAAAAAACTGTCGCTGCTGGACAATTGTACAGGGGACCTTTTAATTTGAGGCAGCGTATATACGCACTAAGGTATTCAGACTTTCGTGATAATTTGTTCATTTATATGCTATTCAAACTGTATATGCAATGTAAAATGAAAGTCGACACACTGTTGAGTGAAGCGAAAAATCCGTTCTACAGGGTGTCCTTAAAAGGTCTTTACAAAAAGCTACCACACATTCTTCAGACCAAAACAATTCGATACAAGCAAACTTACCTCAGTAAAAAGTTGCTTAGTTTGGGCGCTAGACGGCTCTGAAGTTGAAATTTTCAAATCGATTTTGCTTCATAACTTTGGAACGGCTCATGAGATTTTCTTCAAATTTGGTACGTTGGCATAGACTCATCGGGCAATGAAACTCATATCATAATCATAATGAATATCATTCCATGGGCGTAGAACTTGATTTTTTCAGGAAATAAACATCTAAAACTTCTACGCCAATGAAAAAAAATCAGTTTCAGTATGACATCTAGATAGCCCAAATCATTCACTACAAAAAAGGTACTCCTGATAAAATTCGATTACTCCGATGGTTTCGACAATATTTAAGTTTTAGTGATTTCGCGCATATTTAAATAATAAAACGATTGATAGATATTGCATGAAAGTTTTCCAAAATAGTCACTATTTTCGCGTGAACAAAGATTTATACGACGCAAAAAGTTGAAATCCTAATCATAATGAATATCATTCCATGGGCGTAGAACTTGCTTTTTTCAGTAAATAAACATCTAAAACTCCTACGCCAATGGAAAAAGTTAGTTTCGATATGAAATCTAGATTGTTCAACTCATTCACTACAAAAAAGGTACTCTTGACAAATGGTCGAATGGTTTCGACAAAATTTTAATTTCAGTGATTAAGAGCATAATCAATAATAAAACGATCAACAGATATTTCATAAAAATTGTTCAAAATGTTCACCATTTCCACGTATACAAAGATTTATACAACGCAAAAAGTTGAGATGTACTTTTTGCATAGGTTATTTCTATTGAAAATAAGTAGCACTGGTTTTTTTTTCTGAAGACTATTATTATCTGCTCGAAAACAGTGATATTCACATTCTTGGTTTCTATAGTTTCATCTGTGTTGATTTGTCGAGTTTTATTGACGTTGATTGTTGATGTCGGACTTTTCTGATTCATCATGGCCGTACAATACACCAATGAAGAATACACCGATATGTTATTGGTATTCGGATATTGTCAAGGAAATGGTCGAGAGAGTGTGAGGGTGTATTCGGCAAGGTTTCCAAATCGTCGCGTACCAAGCCACCCAACCTTTGCTGCAGTTGAGAGACGTCTTCGGGAGACCGGTCATTTTGCTCCTAGAACTGGTGATTATGGAAGAAAGCGTTATGTAAGGATTCCCGAAGTCGAAGTAGGAATTTTAGACCGTATTGAAGAAAATCCAGAATTGAGTACTAGACGGATAAGTAATGAACTAGAAGTTTCTAGGAATGCCGTTCATGAAGTACTAAGAGAACAATTATTATACCCATACCACAAGACGCCAGTTCAAGATTTATTAATCCATGATTCACAAAGTCGTCTGATGTTTTGTAGGTTCATTAATTTGCAAAGAGAAATGAATCTGAACTTTGGAAAGAATATTTTGTTCACTGATGAAGCCTGTTTCACGAGAAGAGAAATAACTAATTTTCATAATGAACACGTTTATGCAATTGAAAATCCTCATTCCATTAAAATAAACCATTTTCAACACGAATTCAAAATCAACGTTTGGGCTGGAATAATAGGAAATTTTATAATTGGTCCTGTCATACTTCCACAAAGATTAACAGGAGACATGTATTTACAACATCTACGAAATACGTTGCCAAATTTGTTGGAAGATTTACCACTCCAACATCGGGTAGATATGTGGTTTATGCACGATGGAGCTCCACCACATTTTTCGGTGGATGTTAGGAATTTTTTAAACCAACAGTACCCAGACAGATGGATAGGTAGAGGTAATGATGCACCCGTGAATTGGCCACCACGTTCTCCAGACTTAACACCGATGGATTATTTTGTATGGGGTACAAGACCCCTGTGAATACTGTAGAACAATTATGGCAACGTATCCAACAGGCGACGAATAATCTTACAGGCGATGAAGAAGTTATGCAAAGAGTACATTTCAACTTTTTGCGTCGTATAAATCTTTGTATACGTGAAAATGGTGAACATTTTGAACAATTTTCATGAAATATCTGTTAATCGTTTTATTATTAATTATGCTCTAAATCACTAAAATTGAAATTTTGTCGAAACCATGAGAGGAATCGACTTTTGTCAGGAGTACCTTTTTTGTAGTGAATGAGTTGAATAATTCAGATTTCATATTGAAACTAATTTTTTTCCATTGGCGTAGGAGTTTTAGATGTTTATTTCCTGAAAAAATCAAGTTCTACGCCCATGGAATGATATTCATTATGATTATGATATGAGTTTTATTGCCCGATGAGTCTATGCCAACGTACCAAATTTGAAAAAAATCTCATGAGCCGTTCAAAAGTTATGAAGCAAAATCGATTTGAAAATTTCAACTTCAGAGCCGTCTAGCGCCCAAACTAAGCAACTTTTTACTGAGGTAAGTTTGCTTGTATCGAATTGTTTTGGTCTGAAGAATATGTGGTAGCTTTTTGTAAAGACCTTTTAAGGACACCATGTAGAATAAGACATCATTTTATTACAACGAAATAAAATTATGGGGAATTACCATCAATATACATACAGTTCCGGATTGAGCTCTCGCTGATGACAGTCACATAACAGGAAATCATCAGTGATGAATTCAATCACGCTAAAATGTTGCCAGACGGTCAACATAATATTTAATATTGATACGTTATACATATGATAACCTTGCTTGGACAAATGCCGTATGACGTTTGACAGATGTCGTTTGAAAGATGACGTTTGACAGCTGACGTTTGAGGGATGGTGTACGAAAGGTTGAATGAATAATAGGAAAAACACACACAGTGTTAGTTGAGAACCAGAGATAGACAAAAAATCTTGTGTCGAATGAAATATTAGAAAACATATACAGGCTGAGCTAAAAAACCAGAGGCAGATAAAAACATCTTGTGCCAATTGACATATTCAAGGAAGAAAGGGTGAACTGGAAAACCAGAGGGAGATCGAAATATTATTGATGAACATTTAATAAATATACAGTGTGTTTGAGATGAATGAGGATAAAAAAAAAACAGGTAGATAAACCATCTTGTACCATATGAAATATTGAAAGAAACATCCACGAAGTGGGCTTACAAACAAGAAGCAGATGGAAAATTTTTATAACATATGACCTTACAACTGAGGGTAACAGACATTCGGCGTATGCCACCGAAACGAAGACGGATGACCTAGAAGATATAAATTTTTCTTGCTATTTTTGCGCTAAAAATTAGATTCGGTAAAGAGTTGTCCGATACATTTCGCGGTTGATGTTGGAAGGATCGGCTGACTGGGTTTGTCATCCATTCTAGTTGAACTTGAGCGTTTGCCACAGGCGGAGTCTGAAGAACCAGTAGGTCACGTTTCATCGATTGTGTGTGGTCTCTCGACAGAAATCTGTCAAATGTCTTACGTTAGCTGTCATCTATACTTAATGTAATATGTTAACCATGAGCCACCCTGTATATTCTTCCCGAATATTTCATCCACCTCGAACACCCTGTATATAACCATCGATCCTGTTATCATAGATGTTGTTATTGTTGCTTGGCTTGCAGGTGGCTTACTCATCAGAGACGGATGACCTTCAAGGAAACCATCTTTTGCTATTTTTGCGCTTTAAATCAGTTTTGGTGCAAAGTTGTTCGACTTTAAGCTAATCAGTTGATTTTTCTATTGGGAATACACGAAACAGATTATGAATGTTCGTTTATCACTTCCTGAAAAATTGTATAATGTCAATCGAGATTGCTTCAACTAGACATGCTAAATTGGTATATGATGATCCTTCAGAGAACTTTCTGAGAAGTGCATATTACGTCTCAAAAAAACAACCTCGCATCATGCCAAAACATCACAGGGATACTTCCTCAGTAGGCAAGCAAAGAAATGCCACAGAAGAACAAAAACAATACTTTCAATATCCAATGAAGACATCTTTAGGAAGTGCATATCACGTCTCAAAAAAACATCCCGATGCCTGAATTTTTCATTTTCGAACATTTTCAAAACATTTCAAAACATCCCAGGGATATTTTTTGCTTTCTAGGAATTGTTTGCCTAATTCTGTATGCAACCGCCCTCATAATGAGTGAAAGTCAAACAAAGCACGGCATGAAATACCAATAATACTGAGCCAACTTAAATCTTATAACTGCTCATTTGGTTGAAATTATGAAACTCAGAAAAACAAAAAAATCTCTAGACTTCTCTTGAATCAATATGAATGTCTAGCTAGTTCGTCTTTCACGAATTGGAGTAGTTCGTTACACTATGAGGGAGATATAGGTTATCTTATGATATTGCTGACATTACTGGTCGCAGTAAGCAATTCAGGAACACCAAACAGTATCAATAGCTTTGAGTTCTGATCTCATTTCAGAACGATCTTGGCAATACTGGTACACTGGCTGCAAAACATAACCATAACCTATATGATCTTCCGATTTTCGATATTCTGTTGGTTTTCATGTTCATCATTCGTATTATTGTCATTCTTACGCACGTTGGAATTATGGATGGAGTGATAAATCCTATTATCTATTATTATCCGATAGTGATTCTGATTCATCAGAAATACCAAGCTCTATAGTACCTCTAGTCTACTGCCGCTGTGAGATGGTCTAGTTCAACTCCACACATTTCAAAAGGAAATTTGAAGATGATTATATATGATTTTCATCGACTCATACATGACTATTCGCTTAACCTAATATTTCGTTAATACTGGCACTACATCGCAATTTCCGCACCAGTGGCCAACAGTAATCTTTTTGCATCTAACAGGGTTCCTTGCAATGCTGGGCAGTACTGTTCGGGAATATCTGTACTTGCTCATTGTATAGCTTAATCCTAAAGAGGCCAGCGGTAAATGAACTGTTTAACGCGTGATTATTCATTTGAAACACCCTTCTATTGGTTGAAGCGCCAGAAAAATCTTGTCTGTAGGCGAGAGTATAGGGATGTACCGTCTGCAGAACCGCATTAGTGAATACTAGACTAGAGTGACTTTATATAACTAGAGTGACGACGATTGACATCCAAATGGATGTCATTTCCGGAATCTCGAGTCACTGAATCGCAGAAAATCTGAAGAATATCTCTCATGCATTAATGAATTTGCGCCTTCGAAGTGCCCACCTGATGTTAGGTTCAGATATTTCATATTTTTTTCATACCATCATCTGAATAATCCGAGACCAACAAGTCCCGAAAGACGGATTCTGATAGTTAATATCCAAAGTACCTACTGACGTATACAGTTTCATGTCTGATTGGATTAATTGATTTGGAGCAGAATACTGACACAAAGCAATGTCAAAGTGAAATAGAATGCGTAGAATTGAATGGAGGAAACCAGACAGGTGGATGCATCTCCGTATTGAAGGTCTGACCAATCAAAAAGTGTACAGCTATTAATTGTCGTCACCCTATATTCGTGAAGTCACTGTAGTGAACACGTTCTCGATATAGGTGATCCTGCATGCTACAGTGTTTACGGCTGGCCTCTTGGGTTTGTCTATACTATAGGGGTGAAATGGTCCCGTATCCTCCCAGTTCATCTACTGATAAAGCTCACCTGAGTGTGCGAGGCGATACATAATTCGGTCAAAAAACTACACAAACCAGGTAGGGAAAGTCTCAGGGCTGCAGAGTGGAAGAGTTCGTCGGATTTCTGAGATAGCACACAGCAAACTTTGGCAGCATACACACCTGGAAAATTATTTTGGAAATTCTAGAAATAATGAAAAATCCAGAACACCTTTTTTGTACCTTTTGTGATCTTTATAAAAGTCACAGTATTTTTTTCAGAAATCAGTGTTCTTGCCTATTTGCAACATAATAGTTATTTATGTACCAAGGACAAGAAAATGTCTTTCATAGTCGAGTCTGCAAACTGATAGCCGAGGCTAGCAATCAGGCGAGACAATAGAAATTTTTTTGCCGAGGTGCATATTACATTTTTTCGTCGACCTCAAACACTTATATATACATCACGGTCCTATCACACTTGAAATCTATCGGATTTCGTGAATAATCAATTTGACAATAGCAAATGACAATGGTTGTCATCTCGATCACTCTCTGCGCGGACCAGGGTTGCCAGGTGGATTTTTATTTCATCAGTAAATACCTTCTCAAAAACTTAGATCTATTGTGTAAAGCACCCCTTTTCTTGGGTTGGCCTATACAGGGGTCTTCACAAAGTTACTGATTCACTGGGTTCGTGAATACTTAGGCAGGAGTAAGATTGGTGTATATAGACATTAATACGGCAGTTCAAAATACATAAATCTCTATTCAGCAATCATCATAATATGGACAGGCAGAGTTGACATGGAAGTAAAACAGATGTGCTTACATAATATTGGTTGGTTATACATGATGACAGGATGATGTACACTCGCACTAATATACCGGGTCACTTTGAAAAGTTGATACAGTTTTATAAAAGTTCAATAATTCTCGATACACATCTATTGCAGCAACACAATATGTTCACTAGGTACAGACTTTTAAGCAATTTCTAATATCAACTACATATCACGTATAACTAGACTGTTTAGCAGAGTTACTGGTTCAAGACATGAGACTTCGTATCAAGAGTTCGATCAAGACTTACTTTTATGCCAAAACTCCCTGCTTTTATACTGAGATTTGGTCATAAATTTAATCAGTATTCATTAGATTTTCGCTTAGTTGAATTGACCTCGAATTAAAGTGCAGAAAGAGTGGCTTTGGATGTTTTCAGAAATAGTTTTTAATTTAATGGAATTTTATCATTAATCATTTTGCAAAAATCGATGTCAGTTGACCTTGGGTATTACTTAAAATTGAGTACAGAAAAAGGATTTCAATGTTCATCTGAAAAGATTTTAAACTAATTGATTTTTGTAATAATTCATCTGGCCTCTACCTATCTTTGGCCCGCCCCTCTGCTGTGGCTCAGTTACTTAGGTTATGAATTCCCTGTACACTCTTTTCTAACTTTTATACACATCTTTTTCGCTGTTCCTGTGTGCCACTATCAACAATGTTACAAAGGTAAAGTACCTAATAATAAACCTATTACATATATGCATTTCTTGGTATTTGAAACAAATATTCATATTTCCAACAAGAGTTAATTCACGTAATAATATTGCTCTATCAATCTATCCTTCTAATACTTATTGAATGCATTCGAGTTCAGATACCTAAATATTTATTGACCTAATTAAAACGACCTACTTCCTATAAGTGTGAAGTGTCTAGCATTAGTATTCGTTATGCTATTTTTGGTCGAGTCTTCGCGTTCATTACATTCGATCCATCCCTCGTAGACGAAATTCCATATTTTAACATATGAATTTCGTTGCTATATATAGATTATGATCTGTATTTCTTTCTAGCGCTATTATTACGTGAACTTCACCCATGAAACATCAAGAGCATCTTACAACATCCTCGAAATTGTTTATATAAAGTTGTGACCCAGTAAATTATAGTATCAACAAATAAAATGAATGAGATATTTGAATGATCTTTGGTAGGTACCTGCAGACCTCTCTTACGATAAATATATGGAGTCGTTCATGCAAAATTCCTATACCTGAATAATATAACTATTATTAATTATAATTATTATAATTTAAATTAAAAATAAAAATTATTGCATTTTTTTTTTCACACTATACTACTACCTACGAAAATTTTAGACAATTTCCAATATCTATACTTATCTCTACTCTGGTAAATTATGAAATAAAGCTAATTACATGCATATTGGTGGACGATGGTCTAACGAAACCTATATCTATAAAATCAAATCACTCACTCAGTTGACGTTTAACGGTAACCTTCAGGTTACGTCCCATTTGATAAACCCATCGCTCGGTCGGGGTGTTTGACCACTGGGCTTCTTGGGTAGATCCAGGCTGGTTCAATGGATGGTCCTCTCGCTGTCCTGGGTTAGGTGCCGGGTATGGCACAGAACGGTTCAGGGGTGGCCTTCGAGGTATCATAGGCCCAACACCTGGGGCGATGTTTTCGTGCTCATAGGGTGGTGGTGGGGAGTTGGATCGCCCTGCTGTTGTCAAATGGCCCTTTTGAGAATCCAATCATGGTCCTCTGCCTGCCCTTGTGACCTAGTATTATATCTAGACTGCGATACTTGAGTATTCATATTGTCCTGTGTTTTGTTGTGCTCCAGGTCTTCCTCACAGTTTTCTTCATTCACTTCCTCATTCTTTCTTTCATTTTCAGAATTATCTTCTCCTTCTCCTTCTACCTCCTCTTCGTTATCCTCTTCTTCCTCTTCTTCCTCTTCTTCTGAAACATCAGTGGTTGATATTTCAAGTGGATCGTCATTATCGTGTTCTTCTATGTTTTCGTGATCCTCAGGATTTAATTCTTCATTGTATGTGTTAAGATGCTCAGAATTCTCTTGATCTGTTTGTTCTTGCGGTAATCTTATGATTTTACTTGGATTAGTATCAATAACTGGTTGAGGGGTTCTTTCTACCAGATGTTTAGGAATTGTTCGATCATTTTCTTCCTCATCCATATCTTCCAATCCCCGATATCTTTTCAGTCGGTTGGCATGTACCACTTGTTCTTTTCTTCCATTGATTTCTTTAATACGATAGGTTACTGGTCCTAACACTTCAATTATTCGGTACGGTCCTGAGTACTTGGGATAAAATTTATGAGCTAAATGACGTCCAGCCTTGACGGCGGGCGAGTAAAGTAGTCATGGTATATTTGTAGAATTTCCTTCACCATGGCTTTAGGTGCATACAATTTGTCATTGCGGTCCATTTCTTTTCTCTTAACGTAAAGGATATTATCTGGGCATAGATAAAATTGGTTATCGTCGTCCAATACTTGTGGTATTATTTGCGAAATGATAGGGTCTGCTCTCTGCAATTTACTTAGTTCCTCTTTCGTCCAAATAGTCGATAACATTGGGCTATACTCCTGCTCTTCTTCCTGAGTTACCAAAGCTATTGCAGCTAATGGACTACAAGTTGCCTCTGTAGATGTCTCCTCTAGTTCTACCTCTCTTAGCCTGGTTAATGCGTCAGCGTTTCCGTTTCTCTTTCCCGGGCGGTATTTGATATTAAAACTATATTCCATCAAGAACATTGCCCATTTGGCAAGCCTTGAACTGGCATCTTTTATGGTTAAAAGATACACCAATGGTCGGTGGTCGGTAATAATGGTGAAATGAGTTCCAGTCAGGTAACACCTATACTTTTTCACAGCCCAAATTACTGCCAAACATTCACGCTCTATTGTTGAATAGCGTCTTTCTGCTGAGTTCAAGGTTCGGCTAGCATAACAAATTGGATGTTCTATATTATCATATTCTTGACTCAAGATTCCACTAATAGCAGTAGCGGAGGCATCTGTATTTACAATGAATTGTTTTTGAAAATTTGGGTACTTCAAAATAGGAGGAGTAATGAGAGCCTGTTTCAGATGTTGAAAAGCCTGTTCATGCGGTTCCTTCCAAACAATAAAGGGGGTATTTTTCTTGGTGAGATTCGTAAGTGGGTGAGATATTTCAGAAAATCTCGGCACGAATTTGCGGTAAAACCCACAAAGTCCTAGAAAAGCTCGTATTTCTTTTACGGTGGATGGACGAGGGTAATTACGGACTATCTCTGTTTTTTCGGGGTCTGTCTGACATCCAGCTGCTGATATGATGTGTCCCAGATACTTGGCTTCATTCTTCATAAATTGGCATTTGGTTGGTTTGAATTTCAAATTACTGGCTCTCATTCTATCAAATACATGTCTCAGTCTGTTGAGGTGTTCATTTAGGTCAGATGAGCTGAACACTATTACGTCATCCAAGTAGACAAGACATTCGTTTCCAGTTAAATGGGCTAGAACCGAATACATCAGTCTTTGCCAAGTTGCTGGACTATTCTTTAAGCCCATAGCCATGCGAATAAATTCATAATGGCCAGTAGGGGTGGTAAATGCACTTTTCTCCTGATCTCGTGGGTCGAGTTCTACTTGGAAATAGCCACTAGCCAAATCTAACACACTGAAAATACTGGAGCCAGTCAATTGATCTAAGGTTTCTTGGAGATTTGGTAAGGGAAAGAAATCTGTTTTTGTGATTGCATTAAGATCTCTATAGTCGATACATAGACGAAATTGGGGTTCTTCTCCAGGATGCAATTTCTTCTCTACCAATATTGCTGGAAATGACCATGGTGATGAAGATTCACGTATGATTTCATTTTCTAGAAGATCTTGAATTTCCTTGTCCAGTATTTTCTGACGTTGGTAGGGTACTCGGTAAGGTCTTTTTGAGATAGGTGGTACATTTTCTGTTATAATTCGATGTTTTACTCGAGAAGTACAGGTCAATTTGTGTGTTGGAGCTCTGAATATGTCGATATATTCCGTGATCAATTTTACAAGTTTTTCTTCTCCTTCTCCTTGTGGATTAGATAGCTGAAGCTGCTCAAGAATAAGTTTAGTATCTTGCATGCTCACAGAGCCAATTGTTTTTCTTCTTTTTTCCTGTTTACTTGGGACTTCACATTCTGTTTCAAATGCTCTGGCTATTATTTGTTTTCGCTGAATCACTACAGCACAATTGAGAACGTTAATCAGTTTTACAGGTATTCCTTGGTTCTTGTGACAAATGGATCGGGCTACCAATATTCCGTTGATCGAGTCCATAGATTCAATTACGATAGAATCGGTGGTAAGTCGTTTCGGCTTCTTGAGTAGTGCTGGTTGTATGGTCATTGTCCTTGGTGGTAAGTGAACATCTTCTTTGAAATATACTCCCACTCCGTTACTGTGGTAATTCATAGGCTTGGATATGCATCCATGTGCCTTCTCATTTTGTGTCCAAGGCACTACTGACTGTGGGAGACTGGTATCAGTTATCTTACTTTGATGTTCAACTTTTGTACAGTCATTTCCTGATTTATTCATCCGTTTTAATTTAGAGACTTCTTCTGTTGGGTACTCGCTGCTTCTTTGACTTCCACTGTCGGTGTTTCCAGACTCAGAGGTGCATCTTTGTGCCCTATCCTCTTGTATCTGCGAAACAGGTGCAGTCCTGAGGCTATTTTCTCGACTAACGATTGGCTCTCCACTACGATACTGTGTTCTGCTATCATTTAAGGACCCTTTGGAAGCTGCAGCCTTCCTTTCCTTTGACTTCTCTCCATACCTTGGAGTATCCGGGATGGATATTGCTGTTTGGTGAACCAGAGGACTGGAATTCCCCTGTTCACCGGAATTCGCTGCCAATTCCAGTGGCATCGAATTCATATCCTCTTTGAGTACAATTGAAGTAAAGGCTTTCAAGGTATTCCTGATTTCAACCAGATTATTTTCCATTTCAGCTAACCTCACTTTTATCTCTTTTTCCCAATCGTTATTTTCTTCTAATAACTCAATAACTTCATCTAGAATGAACATTTTCCCTGTTCCCCAATCGATTTTTGCTCCGAATCTTTGTAAAAAGTCTAATCCCAGCAGCATATCTGCTCTGAAATTCCCTGTCTCTATCAGGATGAACTCATGTTCAATGGTCTTTCTTGAACTCAACTGTATTGGTAAAATAACCCTTCCATTATCATTGATTTTCCTTCCCTGAATATCAACTAGACTAATATCGTTGTTAACTTGAATATTGAACCCCTGCACGACACTCGGCTTAACTAGAGATACTTGTGCACCTGAATCAATTAAAGCTGTCAAGTACTGACCTTCTACTTTAATTTTTGCTATGTTCCTGGGTTCCTCCTTTCCTTGCGTGCAACTTAGTATCTCTGCCGTCCTTGACTTTATTGTCGAGGCACTTCGCTGGCAGCTACATGGCGGGGTTGAAATGCAGCTGCGGTCGTGTTTAAATTACCGGTGGAACGTCCTCCTCTACCTGCAGTTCGCCAGGTCCCAGTTGTATGACCTTGACCTCGTTGTTGGCTTCTGTCTGGACGATACCTCACTATGTGTCCAGGTCTGTGACATCCATAACACACCCGGTTTCGATTATTGCTGTTGATTCGTTCCTTGCAATCTCTGGCAGAATGTCCCATTTTCTGACATCTGTAGCAGTTAAGAGTGTTTCTTGACCTTGCATTCTGTTGATTTATTTCGCGTGAGTCCCCCACCCTGCATTCTCGTTCCTGTATTTTGGTTAGATTTTCTATTGTTTCTTCCTTTTCCGCTACTCTGACTGCGTCTTCTAAGGTTAGGGGCTCTGCTGATAGTACTCTCTTCCTGATCGGGTTCAGCAAGCCTAATACAAACTGCGTGGTGGTGTCTGCTGCTAATTTCTGTTTAATCAACCGATTGTCATCTGGACGAGCAGTGTAGGTCACAGTCTTATTTGCAGCAACCTTTAATCGAGCCAAAAATTGTCTGCACGACTCACCGTTGCGTTGTCTACATTCGATGAATGCCTTCAGGGCTTGCCCAGGGAGTTGCACTATTCCAAACTGCTTGCGTAGGGCTTCTTCAAGGATGTCCCAGGTGGCTGTAGTTCGTAGATCAGGCTCTGAATCGATCAACTGTTTGGCTACCCCTCGTAATTTCAATCGAGTAATGGCTGTCTGCTGCCTCTCGGTCCATCCTGCTAATATAGCTGTTTCCTCAATGATATGGAGAAAATCGTGAATACTTGTTGATCCATTGTACTCTGGTATTGCATCCAAGTTCATGGGCATGGAGACAATGATATTTTTCTGGTCGTCGTCATTGTTGTCGTCTCCTGTTGGTGATCCGGTTCGTGACATCTTTCAATCTTTATGTCTACGAGTAGTTCTTCTGCCGTTGATGGTAGAATGTCTACACTTCTCTTTCCTGCCGCTGAGGGGGTTTAACAGCTTCTAAATATTCGAACCCCACACCTGACACCAATTGTAAAGCACCCCTTTTCTTGGGTTGGCCTATACAGGGGTCTTCACAAAGTTACTGATTCACTGGGTTCGTGAATACTTAGGCAGGAGTAAGATTGGTGTATATAGACATTAATACGGCAGTTCAAAATACATAAATCTCTATTCAGCAATCATCATAATATGGACAGGCAGAGTTGACATGGAAGTAAAACAGATGTGCTTACATAATATTGGTTGGTTATACATGATGACAGGATGATGTACACTCGCACTAATATACCGGGTCACTTTGAAAAGTTGATACAGTTTTATAAAAGTTCAATAATTCTCGATACACATCTATTGCAGCAACACAATATGTTCACTAGGTACAGACTTTTAAGCAATTTCTAATATCAACTACATATCACGTATAACTAGACTGTTTAGTAGAGTTACTGGTTCAAGACATGAGACTTCGTATCAAGAGTTCGATCAAGACTTACTTTTATGCCAAAACTCCCTGCTTTTATACTGAGATTTGGTCATAAATTTAATCAGTATTCATTAGATTTTCGCTTAGTTGAATTGACCTCGAATTAAAGTGCAGAAAGAGTGGCTTTGGATGTTTTCAGAAATAGTTTTTGATTTAATGGAATTTTATCATTAATCATTTTGCAAAAATCGATGTCAGTTGACCTTGGGTATTACTTAAAATTAAGTACAGAAAAAGGATTTCAATGTTCATCTGAAAAGATTTTAAACTAATTGATTTTTGTAATAATTCATCTGGCCTCTACCTATCTTTGGCCCGCCCCTCTGCTGTGGCTCAGTTACTTAGGTTATGAATTCCCTGTACACTCTTTTCTAACTTTTATACACATCTTTTTCGCTGTTCCTGTGTGCCACTATCAACAATGTTACAAAGGTAAAGTACCTAATAATAAACCTATTACATATATGCATTTCTTGGTATTTGAAACAAATATTCATATTTCCAACAAGAGTTAATTCACGTAATAATATTGCTCTATCAATCTATCCTTCTAATACTTATTGAATGCATTCGAGTTCAGATACCTAAATATTTATTGACCTAATTAAAACGACCTACTTCCTATAAGTGTGAAGTGTCTAGCATTAGTATTCGTTATGCTATTTTTGGTCGAGTCTTCGCGTTCATTACAATTGTATGCTACACGAATTCTAAGAGACGATAATGAAATGAACCTATGAAGTCAAAACATTATGTACTTTTAGTGAACAAAAAAGTAACCTATATATTTCCAATATTTCCAACAATGTAGAGACAAACAAAACAAACATTCTCATGAAGAAATAATCATATTCCTAATTCTAAATTCAGAAATACTCACAAATATCACGAAATACAGTGACATAGGTACTCAAATAAGATTTGAGTATGTGAAAAACAGGAAACGTTGGTAATCGGTGAACATCCTAGAATCGTAGCTTAGACAATTTCGCTGATTGTTTGCCCGTGTTATCTCTGTTGAAGCTTCTTAATTTCGAGTGAGTTGATACAAGACTATAATGATCTTTGTTTTGCTTATGTTAATTGAATACGTAATCGCTAATAAATCTCTAGTATAATTTTCAAACTATATCTACTGAATACTGTCTGTATGAGCCTCACATCAATCATCAGTTCAGAAAACTTGAAGATTAATATATTGAACTATCTCACACGGAAAATAGTTTAACCTTTCTTTGCAAATGTCGTAATAATCATTTGATTGCCAACGTCACCAATTGTCATTGAAAACTGAAAAGTTTTAAGACATATTATACGACTTCGCTATTGAAAAAATCTCTTCTCATGTTGAAAACGGGAGCAGAATCGGCTACGAAACGTCCAAAGATAAGTGAAAATTTGATATTTTTTCTATAGACCTTTATTTCTCTTCTCCAAACTTTTTTCAATACAAATTGTCACTGACAAACTGATGAATTTTTCTTTTAGGCTCTCTGATAGGAAAATTCTTTGAACGCAGTGACATTTTGGGGCAAATCATCTGATTTGTATATTGAAATGATATTCATATTTTTATTTTATAGAAACGAGGAGAGAAAATCCCAAAAAATTTGGAATAATGAATATATCTACTGGTTTATTTTGAAATCTACCGCTTTCTTATGTCAAGTCTACCGCTTATGATGTCATTCTCAACCTAGCAACACTAGCAGAGAATAATGATCGCCAAATCAGTCTCTTTTGCTATGTTGCCATTTACATGTCCTATGTGTAACGATTAGGTAAATCATCGGTATAGCTCATAACGAACCTTACTTTTGAGGTTTATGGATTGCTATGTCCTCGATACTTTCCAAAGTTTCATCATATCATATTCAACGCAGAAAATAAAATGAATTCCAGTATGCTCACCTCTTAGAACGCCTTGTCCTTGAGCATTGTTGGCACCACTTATTTCCACTATCTCAGCAATGCATGCTTCGTTGGCTTGCTCGGCATAGGAGTACGCTGAATTTTGGAGGAAATTATAGACGTCTATGCTGAAAATAATTTCAGATTTGAGATTTTTGTAGAATCATTGGAAAGAGAAACATTATTACCCTAACAACACAGGGATATACTATCTACGTCCCTTTCATGCTCAGTATTGAAATGTCCTTGAGTTGTCCCATTCATGACCCTGTATATCCTGATATCTATTTCTATCAGAATTGATGAGCAAAAACAAAATTTTATTCATTGGAGATGTTTATCTAAATGTTTCTTTAAAATGTGGAGCTTCATTCGCCAACTTTTGTTCAATTGCAATCAAACTCATTTTATTTCCCTTAAATCTCGCCGACGTTCGCTACATAATTTTAGATGAAAATATCAATAGCTAATGATATACTCACATATATGCGTACTGATGATAGATAGTCAGGATTGAATAGGACCACAATGGGAGGTGGGGGGGGGGGGTTAATGACCAAGTCACCATGCACAGTGCAAAGTATTTTTTTTCGAAGGATTCAACCTGTGGACTGAAACTTCAAAGCTGAAAGCATGTCAAAATGAAAATTCAACCCCACAATTTTCAGCACAGAACCACAGAATTACTGGAATTAATCCAGTCTCATCTTTTTCTCACTACAACACCAGATGAATAGCAATAAGCTCATTTGGGGTAAGGGGAAAAAATAGTCTCAATAAGTTCTTAAGACAACTCACATCCCCTAATAACACAATTACATCCGTAAGACAACGTAGAAACATCCATATGGGATGATAGGAACATCTCTGGAGAATCCCTATTTTCCTAGGGACATTCTTGGGATGTTGCTGGCAACACCCGTGTCAGCATTTACGATGTCTTATAAACATCTCATCAGAATGTTTGTGGGATGATATGGGATGCACCAGAGACATTCAGGGTACTTGATATGGAACATATCAAAGAGACTTTTAGAATGTTTTTTGTTTGATGACAGTAATGGATTACACGGTATGCATTATTTTCAATCTGATATCCTGAAAATGGCCGAACTATTTCCAGATATGAAGTAACAATCCGAGTCCGAATATATAAGGTCGATGCGGTCCAATAACTAATGGAAGATGATAACAGTTGTTTGAGGCTCATATCTGTTGACGCTGGGCCGACGGCTGTTAGTAACTCTTAGCAACGTAGTTGTACCGCCATCTATCGGCTGTTATAACAAATGAATTCAGCAAAATATGCTGAAGAGATATATTTCAATTTTGTCGTTTATTACATGGTTCATGAAGTTAAGCAGGTACTTTCGTAATCTTATTGAGGCATATTCAGTATAATAATTTCAATTTGTTGTCGATGAGATTGGCCGGCGTTGGTATAGATATAAGTATATGAGTACGAATACAGTTTTGATTTCCATTTTTCACCAACTTTTCAATGTTTCAAATGTCACAATCGTTTGAATAGTTCAATCATGTCAGTCATCATTAGCAAATATGGAACCATGGTATTGTTCATAAAAAAGATCGAATGGGATGTTTCTAGAACATCCAATGAAAACATATAATAATAGCAACATATAATCTCCAAAAGTTCAAAAAAAAATCCAATACCTACCTCCTGTCCCTATCCACCCTAGGAACGCACGATGTTCTTTGAACATTATAGGGATTCCCTTTCGTGCGCTCCAAGCGTTAAAAAAATGTCCCAAGAGAAACATCTCTGGGATATCGTACCTAAGTCTGAAACATTAAGACATTTGTGGGACCTTAGCGAAATGTACCAGCAAGATCCCGTGTTGTTAGGGTCAGGCTAAGATAAATGAAACATGTAATACAACTGAGCTATTGAGCTGCACTGAGAATTTTAGTTAATATCAGTCAAAGTTGGTAAAAAGAATATAACTAATGTTTCAGATCTTTGACTCACCAAGTTTCTTCTTCGTTGGAGATATTGAAGCCCCTGTGAAATCGTCCATGCGAGTCCGAACTAGTCATGGACGTGACGATGTTGTTCTGCGTGTTTTGTGCAACCATCAGCAGTTGCGTGGACCCGGTTTTGCTAAACAGACAATGCTCCAGACTGGCCACTGCCACGCATGCGCTGAAAACATGCGACCAACAGGCGGCACTGTGGCAGCCAAGCTCCAGACCTGGAATGCACGGAATCAATATACAGGTAGTCCAATCATTTGTAGCCCAGTCACCTTAGGAAAAATAGCGGGAATCGAAGCCAAAGTTTTGAAAATTGGTGTACTTGTTCCTTTAAGCATTACATCTTAACAAAAAAAAGTCACCACCCGTACCTGTAGAGCTTGCGCCGCCATCTTGGAAAATAGGTGCAATATTTCAGTTTTTCACGTATATCTCGGTAACTGTCAACTTTATCGCGATGAAGGATTTGAGGTAAAAGGAAGCTAACAAAATTTCTCGTGAAAAAGTATCTTTCAATTATTTTCGAAATATCCACGGTTCTGTACTTATGTCGCCACAACCGTTTGGCAAAATATGATATTCTACTGCAAACCGACTGGACAAACTATAATTCAGTTAGATACGCTCCTGGTGACTTGCAGAAAAGCATTTATAGCTATAATCATTCAATTCAAGTCCAGACAAGCTGAAATCATAATTACGTTTCATCCTATCAGTATTCGCTTTTTTATGTTCTGGTTCCCCGAGAAGGGATATCCTGTAATGTTCAGAGAACATCGTGAAGACCAAGGGAGATAAGGTAGGGATTGGTGTTCTTCTTGAATTTCTGGAGAATGAAGCATGTCAACTTCGTCATTTGAGAATACATGCATCGGGTCGGGTTCGTCCGTATTCATTACTTATGAGGGATGAAACGGGAAAAAACGATGCCGTGCATCCTTCCTTGCAATTGAAAGAAATTATCTGGAGCAAAGATTCTGGAGCAGCAGATAGGGTAGTTGGCACAAGTATCAGACCAACAGCACTCCTCTTCCACCCCCAAAGCTCAGGATATTTTTGATTACCCAACCACTGTTGTATCTGGTGATTGACTCTGAAGGAGTGCTTCCTCAAAGCTGCTTCCGTCGGTGGCAGAGAAGCCAGATCTACTTTCTTGTTGGTAGCAGATTTAGCGAAAATATTGTACCGGTGCTTGTTCAATGATGTTTCCGTTGTATGGGCACTATACAGAGCTAGAACGAATCGTTCATCTGCTGCAGAAACTTCTTCACTCGTAGCTTTCGGGTTGTTGAAAGTCTTCGCAACTTCTCGTAATGACGGTCCTTCATGAGTTTGAATCATTTCGACATTACTTTTCTGAAGAAATATGATGTGGTATCACAACATCCAAAGGCATGTAAGAAAGATATAGTGCTCTGTAATTTAGTACTGGTTTGTAGTTCGCGGGAACAGTACCTTTTTGCCTCTACATTACCTCTTTTCGGTTTGACAAAATAAATGTTGCGTTCTGCTGGAGCCAAAGCTATGGGTAGAATAAGTAGATCTACATCTTCTCCAACAACGGTGACTTGGGTAGAGGAAGACATCTCAATAGATGTCTGTATTGTTACGTTATTCGGGTGCAGAAGCGAACACGACACTATTTATTTTCGAACTGATTTTATTTAACTAAAGAAACACTAATTTATATCGAATTTATAACTACTATTTATGTAAACCAATTTATATCACGCGGTTTATAACTGTCTCTCTGACACTCGCTGCTTAACTAACTGACGGCAGTTATTCGGCTGTTTATATATGAGATCACTTGGCAGGCTTGGTTCGAGAACCTTCTCGAATCATCTTCCGTCTCCTTCTTTTTGTTCTATGTAGAAGCTTCTTAGAACAAACCTCTCTCTCTAATTGTTCCATCGATTGTTTCCAGAACATTCCAGAATCTTCTGTGACGTTATCTGTCACCGCGGCATATATTGCATGTAGGAATCATTGGGAGGTAGGAGATCAATCTGGGATGCGTGATACAGGATGATCGTTGTACTCCTGCCTTCCTGCTGATGTTTCTAAAGCCCCTCCAAGGGGAATATCATTACAGTATTATTAGCGAATCCGCATTGTCCACTGCTTGCTTTGTGCCTTGAACCCTTCGTTTTTTGTATCTGTATGAAGTTCAGCTATTTTTGCATGAATGGTGAAAGCAATAATTTTATTTCAATATTCATTCAAGATATCTCAGAATTATTTCAAATCTGATTTGATTGAGTTTATGTAGGGGCTACAATTCATTTATTTCAACGTCAAAGTCTTGCTCTTCGAGCTACTTTAGGTTACAGGTCGGCTCACTTGAGAAAACCTGGATATGTGGCAACACTGGTATTCTGTAATGATCGATCGCTGTTGCGAGAATCCTCGAATGTGGCGCCGACTCTCTGACATTTACTTGTAAATGGAATATAATTATGTATATCAGAATAATTGTGAGTTTCTCAAATATCGCATATTGTTTTACGATTTACTGATGAACCATGCACTACACGAATATTTATGTAGGGGCCTTTTCTTTCTAAGATCAATTACTTTCATTTAACCTGAGCATATTGATCTCGATAAAGTCAACAGATATTGAGATATAACCGAATAACTGAAAAAGTGCACACATTTTTCAAGATGGCGGAGTTAGCTCTACAGGTACAGCTGGTGACTTTTTTTGGTTGAAAGTCATACCAAAGTGAACATGTATACCAATTTTCAAAACTTTGGGTTCGATTCCCGCTATTCGTCAAATTTGATATACTAAGGTGATTGGGCTATTGGTAGTTTGGACAGGAAAACATTGCTGAAGGATTTTTCTCAACGAATTCATATGTTCTTTAAGATGCTGAAATTCAGTTAGCGACTAGAGTAGGATAAGGCTTCACCATGATAATGGCAGAAAATTATAAAAAATCGGTAGTTGTTTCAGTTTTTCGCTTATAACTCCGAAACGACTTGATATAGAGAAAAATTAGCAAAGATAAAAATGAAAGCTAATGAAATTTCCAGAGAAATCGGGAATAATCATCATTCAAAGTACTGGCATGTTGAATAACATTACTTCTCACATTCATCACTTGATAGACAGGGTCACGTGCAGATGGAATCAACTTTTTTGTTTCGCAGCGTAGTTCTTGGGAATTTCATTACCACACAGGAAACAATGAGTTCGAAATGCAAAAATATGTTTAGCTGATCGTAATCGCGCAGGAGGATTGCCCTCTTTAGCCTTTTTTTCAGCAGCAACAATATTCGTTTCCTTGTTGTATTGTTTCCAGCATTGAACATGAACTGTGAGAGAGTCTGATCTCTCCAACTTATCATTTTCACCGTCTTTCCCCCTCACGCTAACTTTTAAAATGGCTTTCAACCCTCTCTGCACACTCACAATTTCAGTTCCATCGCGCAGCGTCTTATCACAAAGTATATATATACAATAATTATTGGCATTTTTACTCACGAAAAATGGAAAAATAACATAAATTTTGAAACAAATCACTAAGCAACTAACTGTGTGACAATCGAGGTTGATCCAAGAGGATAGAAAATAGTACTAGACAAATTTTAATTTTCGTGTTAGATTCAGAATGAGGCTCAATTGATGTATATGTGTGATTTGGAGGAAAATTAAAAATGAAGGCATGAAATAAATGTTGGGGGAGGAGGTTCAGGACACTCCAAAGTGAGACACACTGTATACTAATTTAAAATCTGAAATACGAATGTTTTGGACAACTTTAAAACTATTGTCAATTTTCAAGGTGCTTTAGCGGCTGAGTCAAACAAGATATCGAGCTGATTTTGATCTTATTTCAGAGTAAATTTTATAGGCTTTCATTTTTGTACGATTTATTTTTTTCTGTGAATCACGTCGTTTCGGAGCTATAAGCAAATAATCAGAATTCCCGAATTTCCATGGTTTATTGAGATTTTCGTAGTGAAGCCATATTCGAATCTAGTCGAAACTAGAGTCACTGTATGGTATTAGTTTGATAAGAGTTCGGACACAGCTGAACTTTTGTCCTTTTCTATTTTCTATAATACAATGGTTTAAGTGAATAAAAGAATAAGACATATATTCTGCTCTTTGTCTTTTCAATTTCCCTAGTAGCGCCTGATTGTCAGATACGATTTTAGAGGTTATATTTTCTGTCAAATCAATCATAGCCGTAGATGGACAATGGATATAGGGTACAAACACCCACTTCAATTCATAGTGATACCTACACTTCTAGAGCAAGATTTATATAAATGAAAAAAATGCATGTAACAACATTTTAATACAGAGAATATATACATATGAATAAACGTATAGCTATAATTCCTTATTGTATGTGAAACTGTACTACTCCAGTGAAGTATTCCTGAGACAATTTTAAGAAATAAAGTCTATATAAGCTTGTGTCTGGAAATGCTTCATTTCGGAGATACAGGGTGTTGAAATACAGAGAACAAATCATTTTTTAAGTAACATGGATCGATATAGAAAATATCTCCAAAACGATAACCTCCAGCGTAATTGAGACCCTTATGATAATTCCCTTGATACATAAATATCTATTCACTTTCCACTGTTGAATTTTCTATTCGCGGTCAGCACCAAAAACGCCATTCAATAATAAATCACGTTGTAGTTTACTTGCTTTTCTGAGTTTTGTTTTCAAATGTTCAATTTCATAATGTAATTTTGCGATCATTTCCCCTTTTCCATGATTATTTTGTTTTGTATTTTGTGTGATGATAATATGGAATTTTGTTCTCGAAATCGTTTGCTTTGTAAATTGATGGAACAGCAGATTCTCTCAAACAGATTTTGAAATCTTCTGTTTGAAAATGTCTAGTAAATCGGCAGAAGTATACAGTTCTTTTGAGAACTACTTTTTGATGATGACAAGTATAATATATTTATTCTGACACTTAATTACATCATTAATTCTAGTAAGTCAAAAACTGACAAAACAATTCCTATTCACAGGATGTTATTCAGAGCAGGAGTGAACTGATTATTTCACAATCCAACACTCCCCCTCACGAACTGCTCAACTGAAGTCCAAGACCTCTGGATAAAAAGGTGTGACGATTTCCATTGACTGATTTTGTCAATATATCAGCAATCATATCGTCTGTCTTTTTGTAGTCAATTTCAATTTCTCCTCTTCTTACAATGTCTCTGATGAAGTGTTCTTTTATAGAGATATGCTTTGACTTCGAGTTTATCATGGGGTTAGAAACCAATTTTTGCGCTGCTTGATTGTCATTGTAGATCAAAATTTTGTCTTGAGTGTATCTCATATCATTGATCAAATTTTTTAAATGTATGGCTTCTTTTGATGCTTCGGTGAGCGACATATACTCCGCTTCAGCCGTTGATAGTGCAACAGTTCGTTGCTTACGTGATTCCCAACTGACAGATGCGTTGGCAAAGATAAAACAATAGCCAGTGTAAGACCTTCTGTCAATTGTACAAGATCCCCAATCAGCATCTGCATATCCTGTTATTTCTCTTCCAGTTTTTCTGAATTCAAGTTTCACATTTTTAGTTCCTTGTAAATACCGTAGAACACGTTTAGCTGCAACCCAATGTTCTTGATCATAACAGTTATTGAATTGGCTAAGGTAACTTATTGCATAAGATATATCTGGTCGAGTTGCAACTGATAGATACATAAGTGATCCAATTAAATTTTGGTACGGCACATTAGGCATTTTTTCTGGATTTCCTTTTTCTAATTTCAAGTTTTCTTCCATGGGGCTTTTTATGCTTTTACAGTCTTGCATTTCAAATTTATTTAATAAATCCGTGATATATTTTTGTTGATTTATTGTTATGATCCCATTTTTTTGTTCGAATTCCATTCCCAAGCAGTAATTTAAAGTGCCTAAATCTCGCATGTCAAAACTTTTCATGATTTTTTGTTTTATTTGCATCAATACTGTATCGCATGATGTGGCTATGATCAGATCATCCACATATACTGCAAGAATGGCCTGTTAAGTATACAGTTCTTTTGAGAACTACTTTTTGATGATGACAAGTATAATCTATTTATTCTGACACTTAATTACATCATTAATTCTAGTAAGTCAAAAACTGACAAAACAATTCCTATTCACAGGATGTTATTCAGAGCAGGAGTGAACTGATTATTTCACAATCCAACAAAATGGGCCTAAAATATAGATTCATTCTAATCAGATGCTGTTATAAGAAGTGAATTTCAATGAGTACCTCACAAATTTCGCTCGTCTTCAAATTGATTTTCCACCCAGGCCATTTCATATCTTCCTTCCATAAGCGAATGCTTGATATTTGATTTGGAAAATCTAATAAATGATATCCATTCGTTTCATAATTGGCACAATTTATTATACAGCAAGTGATTTCCATAGCTGCTTTTATCTCGAAAGTATAATAATTATGAAATTTTATTTCAATTCTGACGTTTATAAAATGAATTGTCAAATTCAAACAATTTTGAATGGAAAATCGCGGGACGACTATGATGCTCTTGTCACAATGCAAGGTGTGTAACTTGATAAATCTAAACATTCAAAAACCCTAACCGTTGTCATTTCTGTGTCCGAACTCTTATCAAACTAATACCATCCAGTGACTCTAGTCGAAACTAGATTTTCAGGTTCAGCACCACGAAAACCATATATGTTGATCCGTCGAGAAAAATTCTTTAGCAACTTTTTCCTGATTCCAGTTTTCCGTCACCAAATGACTTGATCAAGGGTGATGTATTAAGAATAAAAAATCTCTGAATTACAGATAGTTTTTTTTTCTCAATTCCTAATTGCTTTCCATATAGCACCAGTAGGTCCCTAAGACGTACTGAGAAAGTCAGGCCAAGACGTTTCGTACGTACTAAGGACGTCCAGATTCGGACCGTAGACGTACTATAGGTACGTACTGAGGACGTCCAGATTCCGCGCATTTGTACATCCCCCGTACGTCCATTCAGGATCATGAGTACCTGAATCAACGAAAATTCTTCTTTTTCTACTCAGATAGGTGAAAAGGAGATCAAGACAAAGTGAAAAATATCCTACTTTACTTTTTATTTTGTCAGAAGATGACCATGGTGCCGAAATTACTGAACAACTTCAAGAATTGATGACCTAGAATATAAATACTCATTATTGTTAATTTAAGAACGGAATCTCATGCGCTTGCTAGAAATGATCTCTAATTTCTAATATGAATCAGATGATCCGGTTGAAAATCTGCTGATAAAATGAAATTTTCAAATGTTTAATAACCGAGGTACCAAAACACATCATCTGCTTTTCCATAAAAAATGCAAACTGGCTATTCACGAAATTTAGTGATCAGCAATACTTCCCTCATCCTAATGAAAGAGAGAAATGAAACCTATATAGTTAATTCATGTATAGAATTGGAGATATAGAATTATGTTATTCACAGTAAGTGTGTGAGTACCTTTTGATAAAAGGACATCTAGAGACAGCGCATGCGAAGCTAGCAGTTTGGCTCCCAAACTCTTACACGAAGATGAAGACAGCAGAGCCAAGATGCTGCTGCTTCTTGCTTGCAGTTTCAAAGTGTTGCTGAGACTAGCAGCCTGAAATAAAAGGTATTGAAATTACGAATATACAGGGTAATGAAAATGCGAAACCGTAAAATCATTTCCACAAGTGTCCGACGAGACTAACAACAACAATGGTAGATGATAATCCATCAATCAATAATGTTGCCTGGAGTAGCAACGAGTGGAATCCCAGGGAAAAATGGAAGTTTTGGAAACGCCAAATCAGCGCGCTAGAGCCATCTCCGTTATGTAACGGCATGCTCTCCTGCTACCATTTTATTATACCAAAGGTGAGGCCGTCTGATGAAACAAACTACTGGCTCTGCAGTGTCAGTGCCCGAGCAGCAAGATATAATCCCACTTGACCCAGAGTGGGATTCTCCTTTACCTCCTCTACCGCAGTCCGGTGGCATTTTTTGGGAAACCTCAGCCTCCTGAAGTCCAACCCAATTGGTGAGGCATCAGGCCGTATGTACGACCTGATGGTGCTATCCTCATCACCCCAGGTACCCATGTTAACAAGATTTCTCTTGTTACGTTTGATGGGCTGCCGTTGCGAGAGGCGTTGGCCTATTGCTACTTATATGTTCACAAGAATCCTCTCGTCTCGTTGAATGATTGATCGTTCGCTGACTTCCACACGTCACCTCGTTTACAAGAGAGGACCCGGCTTTGCCTACAATGACTGGCGCTAGGAACGCATGGGGCTGCCCCCAGAGTATAACTTTTTGCTGAGCAAGCCCAGCTACCCATGTCGACCGGAATCCTCCAGTCCCATTTGATGGGTGTCTGTTCGCGGCCTTTCACACGTACCGCTACCATGACAAGAGTGGGGACCTCAAGCTTTTAACCAGTTGGGTCTGGAGTCACCAGAGGCTACCCCCACCCCGACGCTGTGGAGTACATGGTGGGCCCACAGCCAAATGGTAGATGATATGCAAACTCTCGACAACTTCAAATAGGTGTCGGGATTTTGTCGTTTGTTCTTGTTGGGTAGTCACTAGACAACAGTCTGAAGACCGCCATCTAAGCCAAATCTTACCTAACGAAAGTGAAAATCGGCAATTTTGTAGTTGAAAATACAGGGTTTCGACGAGCTCAGATATTATATACCTGTTTAGTGTCTGTCCTATGCCCCCCCACTTGCACTGAAAAACTCCACATTTGGTGTCATTTAACCGACCTCGTATCTCTCACCGTTAAAAAGATACTCATGGTGAGCATGGTAAGTGGGACACACTGTATAGTTGAATAGAGAATTTAAAGGCAAATGAAATAGACTTCTGAAATAAACAGGGTGCCGTTTGAAAATAAAAGTTGAGTCTACTACGAACAAGTGATTAAAACAAAATGTCATTGGATTCAAAGGAAGCGTCATCGTCGATAATATAGCCCTTGTGAATTTGAAATGTTCATCTCTTCAACTAAAAAAACTATAGGCTGTTTGATGTCTCCTGTGTCACCCGGTATATATCTTTCTCCACATATTGTAAACTTACTCATCAACCATTATTGCTTCAATATTGTAGCTGACAACCCACATTTAGCTCAGGTTGAACCAATATTATCATATATAATACCACAAGTGATAATATTTTGCCGGAAATATTCGGTGATTGTTACGACAGCTTGTTGCCTAGTAATTTCGTGAATGACATTGTTATCAAAACTACGAGCCGCAGGCGAGTAGTTTTGGATCAATGTCATGAGCGAAATTAGAGCAGCAAGCTGGAGTATGTCAATCGAAGAATATTTCCAGGAAAAATAGTATCACGAGTTGTATTCGTATGACTATTTTATGATTGAATGAGACAATATATATAAGAAATAGGAAACATAATTTAAGTATATTCCAACTCGAACTTCGAAGAAGAACATAATGATAGTAATGAAATACAGAATTAACTTTTCTAGAAATTAACTACCTACTTAGTTATTTACAAAGTGGAATGTACAATTCTGATAAACAGTTTTTTTTATTATCTTGGAAATGGTTGCTCTCAAAAGAGTGTATACAATTACTATCCAATTCATACAAAATAAATTGAATTTATGTGACATGGAATAATTAAAAAAAAAATATTGTCGCCGTGGGCTCGAACCATCGACCTTCGTATCCTCGCGCAACAACCCCAACAGTTGCGCCACATCAGCTAGTAATTTAATTAGTCAGTCACAATTACTCGAGTATTTGAAGAAGATTACTTCAAAAAGGAATTTGAATTCTATTATTCTTATGTCAGACCGTCAACAAATATGCGAACTTTTTAAATTACACATGAAACGTCCAGCCAGGATAAAATTGTCTCGCCTTTCGAACAAAATATCTCACTAACGCGAATTATGAGAAAATTAAATAAAGTAGGAACTTAGGTTATTGTCTCAGATTTGAATCCAAAGCAATCTTGACCAGTCACGATGTCAAAATTTTATCGCTGATAAACGAGGTTAGTTGGTCACGTGTGGGCGTCAATTTGGCATCTGTATTGGTAGAGCAAGTCCGATAAAATTTAATAAACAAAAAATATCGCTAGAATACAGAAGAAACCATGAAAATGGTCGATTCTGATTGGTTCTCGAGATCAAGAGTGGAATAGTCATTACAATATTGTACTTTCGATATACTCTCATATTGGATCAATATTATTTTCACATTTACCATATATATCTGTATCGTCCCAATATGAAATCAGGATTCACCCAATTGGATGTACTGTGACCTTTATTTTATAAGAAAAATAAATGCACTTGCAAACGGCAGCTTTTCACCGGTAGGCACTATGGGTTCTATTCAAAAGCAAGTAAAATTCATACTACACAATATTCATTTAGATTAGTACGGTAAACAAAAAAGAGAGGGCGCCACAGCAACTTTTAAGTATATGAGATGAAATTATTATATGGATAGTTGTGCAACCACATAACACTCAAAGATGTTAGTCCAGCTAAAATAAATACACTGTAGGATGTTATAAAGAGGAGAGTAGTTGACCCAAATTCAATAAATAAATAAAAATCAGTCATAAAAACAAATAGGTTTATTACTCATGGTGGTGCAGGGGATGAAAATACACTCAGTGTAATGCGAGTAAAATAAGTCACAGAATATTAGATCCATGTGCAGTCATAATAAATAAAATAAATAGATCATTACTTTCATGATACCATAACTTCAATATCATCTTTATATAAGAGAGAAAATCAGTGAACCTATCAGGGGTAATTAATTCAGTTATTGCTGAAATATCCGCCACCGCATAGTACTATGTGTTGGGGTACCTGTGAGCTAAATGTTACCTCATTTAGGGCGCTTGAAATAGTATTCATAAATGTATTGAAGGTAATTATATCAATGATGAAAAAAATTAAAAATTAAATAATCTGGCCTGCACTTGGAGATCTTCAATCAGCAACCATTAGCTGCATCACCATGAGGAAGAATCCTGATGCTGGTCTCTGTCTAAGCTGACAGACGAGCTTCTGAAGCAAGATGTAACTTAGACTCGCCAGAGTCTAGGGCTGGTAGGATGAGTGAAGACTCTGCGGAGTCTTGAACCTTGAGAGCGAAGAAAGACTCTGAGGAGTCTTGGACTTGGAGAGCAAACGACATGGAGCAAGATGGCATGGAGCAAAACGGCATCGAACAGGACTGCATTGAGGAAAACGGCATAAGTCGGCATAAACGGTCAGCTTCAAAGTCCAGGGAGATCATAGCAGGGTGCACAGCAAAATCGACGCGAAGAGGAGCCACCAAGAGGCCCACCGTAGACGACATGACGATCTTTAAATGGCTGGATCAGATCCAGACTCCAGGAGGTAGAATAACCCCTCGGAGAACCCTATAATAATTTTTTATGTTGAATTCCTATTCAAGCTTCTCACGGGCAGGACAAAAGAAAAGGACTCACCTTGTGTAACAAGGGTTTCGAAAATCAAACGGCGTCTCGCAGTGTCTGACGGCGTGTCCACGGCGTCCAGCAGTGTCCAACGGCGTGTTCAAAAATTGTGGGTCTCACAATAAAAATCCCAATTTGCCAGGAGCACCAACGTCGATCTTGGTAAATTATTCACGGCGAAAGATGGAAATCTCTAAAGATTCCGGCACAAAATTTGGATAAAAAAATCCAGCGGAACACCTTCACCAACTGACTTCAACCAGATCTCACCAAGAAGTGATGGTCCAGGAAATGGGTACCATGTCCATCAACTTTGACATCCGGAAGTACAAACTTTGACATGAAGTCGACATCCTTGACCTTGATATTTTCGAAACAACCAATCAGGATGGATCCTTATTCTAATCTCCTACCAAATATGACATTTCGGAGAAACACGGCTTTTGAATACATCTGGCAACGTGGATGTTGTCCGACGTATACTCGAGGCTGCTCTCTCTTTATTCTGTGTCTGTGACCATTGAGTCCGATGTCGCTTGACACATGACAATTGGAGAATTTACTATTTACAACAAGACAATTGACTGAACTGACTTGGCATGTTATGTCAAAAGTCAGATTACATAACCGAAAAATAATAAGATTATAATTTCTATTTATTTACAAAAAATATCACTGTATTTTATCCAGACATTAATTCAAGACTCAAGAAGACATCAGGAAACTACTAAGATGAATAAGGTAATATATTTGGCATAACCCATATTCAGATGGTAAACAACAGATGTTTATTTTCTTTCAGACAAAATCTCATGATATGATATTCTACAAGAGAATATTTCTAATTGAAATCCAATTGGAACATCATGTGCTGCCTCTCTATTAATTAACTAGCCAGGAAGAAAAGTGGATAATTTGGTGAGTATAAACTAGAAATGATTTCAAGTTATCATAATGAATTATTCTTTTATTTTTAGGTAAATGAAAGAGACAACCATTGATGAACTCAGGTGCGAATATCTGTTTGAAATACTGAAACTAAGGTGTACCAAAGATTTGTGACTGATGGCCTTATATGGATGAATAAATGACAAAAATATTTGAGATTGTGTTATTTATAAAGGATAGTATGGGTAACTACATCCTTTTATATACTTTATGATTTTTGTTGTGTCATTATATTGGAGTAAAGATGAACTTTGGATATTATACAGGGTGTATCCGTATTATTAATTATAAAAAAGTAAAAAGGTAAGGTACTGAAATTTTAAATGCTACAGTACTACTCGGGTAAAATTTTGTATCCTAGTGGACACTTACCTTCTGCAGACCTTCAAGGCTAACCGTCATGATATCATCCAGCATCTTTTGTCGATGTTTCTGCCGTGACTTTCTAGCGACCAGCCTACCGAGAGCGGATGTCCCAGTAGAATTCGGTTTATCCCCCAAAGGTGTTCCTAATACGGCCACCACAGACGACCAACAGCAAGTCAGAACGCGTCTGGACAGTTTTATGCCAGCCTCTGTTTCTGGACTGGTTTCTTGCGTACCATGGACTTTTTGCAGTTTCTGCCAGTCGGAAAGGAGCTGTGTTGGACACAGACCTCCGACATCTGGAAGAAAACTTGTCAATCAAATGATGATATATTAGTTGAGGAACGAAGTTGAAACAACAAAAATTGATTTTATACATTCAGAATTCGTGTAGGAGGAATGACGTCATCGGTATTTTTCAATATAGCATCCAGATTTCATTTCAAGAGACACACAAACACTTCTCTCTCCTTGAATTTGAACCATCTTTGCTCATCATAGTAAAAATTGATCGACGCTTTTTATGGAAGAACCCCACTTAACATCCCAGGCAACCAGATGACCTTTCAGTGACGTCTTTTCACATCAGTTGAATGACCAATGTGACGTCAGGAGTTGACGTCGTATGACGTGATAAATGAGGTGACTGAGTCACAGACTAATGACGTCATATTACTCACGTTAATTGACGTCATTCACTCACCAAACTATAACGTCGGACTGACGTCAAAATGACGTCAAAATTACGTTCAAATTTGTTGATGACACGTAGAAAATTTTTCTCGCACATGGTGTGATAAACACCACTGACCGCTGATGACATAATATTGATAATGAATTGTTGAGTCTGCTTGGTGGTCCCTCCGGTGTCATGTCCATGTCCATTCAATCGTCTATTCAGCAGCGCTATCCCTCAGTAGGCATTTCCACCAGAATAAAATCAGATGGTCGTATTTGTATCAAAAGTGATGTAGTTTGTGTCGGCGAAATGTAAGCAAACCAAAAAAAAAGTTTCATAGCAATGAAAAGGATGTTGGTGAATTCAGCTCCACTCTGTTGAGTAACGTATATAAGAATCTAAATAGCAAATTATTGAAAAATTTTCTGAATGACGAAGCTCACCAAATTGGTACGTCATACCGACGTGATTCTTGGACGTCATAGATACGTTACTGCAACGTCATAAAAGTGACGGTTTCAATATAGGTACACCTATATATTATCATTTGTATATATTATCATTCGTATATATACAAAAAAGTATTCTCTTACTTTTTGGGTATATATAATTCCAATAAAACTTGCATATTGATTTGTTTCAATGAGTTACTTCTATCATCGTCAGAAGCATGACGTACAAGTTTCTATATATGTGTGTAAAATTAATGAAAAAAAATCATGTTTCCTCAAAACTTTTCGACACTGAAAATGCCCATCCTCTATATATTGGTTCGCCACAAAACTAACGGTTTCACAATGTAAGTATACATGGTTCTTAGATATGGTCTGGGAAACATGGACGTCAACAGGACGTCCCTGCAACGTCATGAAACTGACGTCTTATTTCACCCTTCTAAGTGACGCTCACTTGGCGTCGAGATGATGAAGTGATTCTCACTTCATAGTGACGTCGTAAATTGGTGTGTGACGTCTCTGACGAAAAATCACCAATTAGGGACGCCACAGTGACGTGGTAATTCGTCATATGGTTGCCTGGGATGATAGGTACATAGCAAAAATATTTTTCTGATATAAGAACTGTGATATTGTTGGAATAACATTGTGATAATGTCCTTCTGAAGTATCCAACATAATATTATGAAGTGAAACGTTTATAAGACGTTGCATCAATATTGGAATAAATATTATTAGATGATATTGAAATATGTTGATTTTAGGATGTTCAGATGTATATAGGATACAAGGGAATAATATGTTTCTTCTGCAATCGCCTCAGAAGTCGTCCATTTTTGTTCCGTAATTGGCTCCTGAAGTAGGCGTTTCCCTTGTTGACAAAATAAACTGATAAGTATGTATGTTGTTAGGCAACACTTTCAGTATCTGAGAGTTGAAGTTAAAGTTCAACTCCTACGAACTGAAAGTGTGTCGGATGACAGCTGATATGATAGCTGCTTTAACACTGACATGCTCAAGTGAGTCAGAATGGTGGTGAATTCACTAATATTCCATTGATTATGTATCAATTATTTCGAGTGCAGGAGAAATAGTATCTCCCATTCGGATCAAAAGTGACTCTTATAGATGGAGAAACCCAAAGTCATCTCCACAACATTCATTCGACGATCAGAGATTGATCACATAGAGGTACATGATTCGGGCTTATATAAGCCTATCATCAGCCAAATATAAGAATTTAGTTATGGAAATGAGAAAGTTGAAAAATTGATAATCTAGACAATGGAATGGCACAAGACACGGACCTATGCACCATGAATTGGTACAATAATTATTTTTTCGTTTTCTATAAAAACATTGATAGTTTTTATATATGTAATGGGTCGGGTTATTGATTTCATAAGGGCCCACGTGCCCTTGAATTGCCAAAGGTGACAATCACACATTTAAAAATCACACTCAGTTTGATGGGATTTCAAAGTTTACCTTGACCTTGAAATGATAGACTCAAATCACGTGTAATAAAACCGAAAAAATTTAGTTGTTTTTCCGAAGGTATATCCATATGTCTATTTTGTCATATCGAAATGTTGTTACATGGATTCTTTTCATTTTTATTACTATGATGGTCCAGCGAAAAGTGTATCACTATATAAATTGAAGTGGGTGTTTATACCATATTTTTATTTTTCATATCTACGACAATGATTGATGTGACAGAAAATCTAACCTCTAAAATCGTATGGGTTGCGTGCAAGAACTGTCAGATGACCGACCATGGAGGTGAAAAATTGAAACACAACCTCATTCTTCTTATTTGTTTACAAATGATTAGAATAGTTTTTCACAATTATTTCGGCATACGAATCCTGTTTTTCGGCTATTCATTAATTCGCGCATGCCATCACATTGTGCTGTTGTTCAATGCACAAAAAATGCAGCGAGAGACGGATGAATGTGGTTGAGACATTATAATGATTTGAAAGTAAGCATCTACTGTAGTCACTCACATATAGCTTTTATTTTGAAATTTGTCAATTTCTCTGATTTCTCATCGGCATTCCTTCTGCAATAGAAGCTGATAGGAATACTCGTGAAATTTCTGAAAGACTGCAAGAAGATTGGATTCATGCAATCAGAGGACTGGTCTGACAGGCTTTTCGTCAGAATGTCGTGTGTGTTGTAGACATTTTCAATCCATTGGCAGTATTAGCTTATATTGCAGAAGTGGCAGAAGGCATGTCCCTAACAACACGAGTACGTCCCAGGGACGTCCTTCAGTTTCTACGAGGACGTCCCTGGGATATCCTGTGTCGGGACATGGTACATACTCTGGGACGTCCCAAGGACATCCGGTTTCCAGAATAAGAGGCATCCTAGGGATGTCCTTCTGGTACGTCCCTGGGATGTACCAAGTACGAAGAAAGGATATCCCTAAGACGTCCCAAGGATATCCCAGGGACATCCCTTCGACAAAAGAAAAAAATGCAGGTTGAGTACGGATTGAACCCGGGACCTTTGGCTCATCAGGCACGCATCTTACTCCATTGGCTATTGAGCCTCCTGAAGATTTATGTACTCAAAAGATTTATAAACAGGACTTGACTACAGAAACCTGAATAAATACAACTTTGTTAGGATTTGGGTATAATTATTATTTCATTCTTGGGTGTTTAAAAATGAGGGGCATTATGCATGTACGATTTCTGTTTGTGAAAAATGGTTATTTCTTAAGAAGTTCTGAAATTTAATTGTTTATTTTCATCACGATCATTTTCCGAAAGAAAAACATACATCTTCAAATGAATGCAACTTAATACTTTGATGGAAGTCAATGCCTCTGATGTGATTGGATATCAGATATTCCAGGGACACGAATAGGATAACCTAGGGATGTACCGGGCGGGACGTCCACTGGACAACCACTGTGCGACATCCCCTGGATGCTCCAATCATGTCCTTGTACCGCGGGACAAAAAAGGGACGTACCTAGGACATCCTTGTGTTATTAGGGGTTGAAAAGAAATGATGAAATTTCATAATGAAAACTATGTGAGATTACAATTTACCTGAAAAGTCATATTCCTTCGTCTCTCGCTGCATTTATTGTGTATTTTACAAAAGCACAATAAGAAGGCATGCTTGAATTAATGAAAAGCACAAAAACCATGATTATTATGCCAAAATATCCAAAAAAAATATTTCAGTCCTTTGATTCCTCTGGAAACAAATGAAGAATTGAGGTTGTGTTTCAATGTTTTCCCCCAGGGTCGGTCATCGTGCACGCGCCCTATCTAACAATGAGGCGCTACTAGGGAGAATGAGAAGACAAAGAGCAGAATATGTCTTATTCTTTTATTCACTCCAACCATTGAAATATAGAAAATAGAAAAGGACAGAAGTTCAGCTGTGTCCGAACTCTCATCTAACCAATACCATCCAGTGACTCTAGTATGCAATAGATACATCATATTGGTTCCATCTTGATAAACTTCTGGCTGTTGCATAAATATGGTTCGCCTCTAGATTACCATAGAGAAAAGCCGGAGATGTATCGAGTTGAAGAATTGTCATATTCTCGCTTGCAGCAAAACCCCTCAGTAGGTAGTCCGCCTCTCCAGTCCAGCCCCTCCCCTCCACTTTTCTCCAAACCACGTGACTCGGCCGACCAATCACAGGCCGGCCTGACTCGGCTAGCTACTCGCGGCCTAGCGAACGGGTCGTCATCATCGGCGAGCAAAGCGAGAGATCCGTTCCAGAGATAACGGTGCGCATTTTATTCCATTTTTCAACAACGGCTATATACAGGGTGTTTGAGTTGGGTAATAGTTTGGAAAAAAATATAGGATGAACCCAAAAGGCGTTATACCTCTCCGACCTACATATAAAGGCTACCCGCTATAACATGATATATACAGGGCGTTTGAGTTGGATAGCAATCAAAGAAAAAATATACTGGACGCCTCACCCACTTTTGCGGGATTAGACAGCTGACGTATTACATAAGACATTTGACAGTTAACAAAGGATTGATGACACGACGTGACTAGATGACCTGCAAGTACCGCTACCTAATAATTTAATATACTGGATGTTTGAGTTAGCAATAGCGATAAGAAATAGGGCGGCTCACAGGTACACTCAGCAAAACATACGTATGATA